ATAATAGCACGTTGGTTTAAGTCAAAGAAAAAAATCATTGGGATTGAAAATATCAGGGAGAAGATGTGGAGAACCTCAGCTTCACACAAAAAATTCCAAGGTTGAAGGGAATTCTGGAGACCCTGTGGTCCAACCTTCTCCTGGAAGCAGGGCTTGGGTTATGCTGTCCAGGGCCCCGTGGAGCCCTGAGAACTTCCACTGAGGGAGATTCCAGCACTTCTCTACTCCATCAATTTCAAGGTTTAATTACAATTACAATGAAGAATTAAATGTCTCTTGTCACTGTGCATCCTTGAGAACACTTCTCACTTTTAGGAAGACTGGGATTAGCTCATCGTGAATCTTCCCTTCCTGAGGCTAAATCAACCCAAATCCTTCACATCCTCCCCAGGCCAGGTTCTCTGACCCTCAATTCATGGAATCCCAGAATGGTTTGGGTTGGAAGGGACCTTAAATCCCATCCCATTCCATCTCCCTGTCATGGCAGGGACACCTCCCACCACCCCAGGCTGCTCCAAGCCCTGTCCAGCCTGGCCTTGGGCACTGCCAGGGATCCAGGGGCAGCCACAGCTGCTCTGGCAATTCCAGCTCAGCATCTGGGAATTCTCACTGGGAGCAGCTCCATGGCCTCTCTGGACTCATTCCAGCAGCTCATATTCCTCATTTTGGACTCCAAATCCAGGTGCAGCCCTGAAGCTGAGATGTCACCAGAGAGAGCTTCCAGCTCCTCCTGCTTCCCCCACGGCCTCCAGCCCAGGAGCACCTCTGCAGCCCCCACAGGACCTGCTCCAGTTCAGCAATATATTTGAAATATAAGTTATTTTAATTCTCAATAATGTAAGATTTAGAAATCCGGTTTTCCCCTCAACCTGACACAAGGGTCTCACATTAAAGATAAAAATTTTCTTATTAATGTCACCACCTGGCCAACCCAACTGGCATTTTGGTGATCAGCCTGACCTTCAAAGTGTCTCAGCTCATGGAACTGTGGGGTCAGGAGTTCTGGACTTGTGCTCCTCTCTAATGAAAGTATCAGGGCACTCTCTAAAATAATCACATCCCAGCGACAACAGAATTTAATTGATATTAACACACACGAGAAAGAAAGGGAAAATAAGAGTGATGGGAGACCCAGTCTCTTTTAAATCATGACACCTTCCACTGCAAGCAGGAATCCCTTTTCATTGACCTTGGCATCTCTAAATAACACATCCTATTATATTGAAAATATACCATTCCTGTCTTTGGGAATGCCATTCCTTCCTCTAGCAAAGAATGCTGAGCACAAGAGTGGCAAGTGGAACTCAGGCCCCAGAGTTGTCAGGGTCAGAGGCAGACAGAAAACTCAAGCCAACACCCGGCACCAGCATCAGGGAGGGCTCTGAGGGGAGACCACGGGCAGCTTCTGCCGGCAGCCAGGTCATGAGAGGGACGGATGGACGGAAGGAAGGGGCCCGCAGCAGCCGGACAGGCGAAAGATGGCTTCGGAGGAGCCTCCAGAGGCCTCGATGCGGGGGAAAGAGGAGGAGGTGGGAAAGGCAGCCCCGCATCCCGAGGAGGCGCCGCGGGGGACGCGGAGCGGCCCCGGCCCCATCCCGCACCGGCGCTCCCCGGCCCCGAGGCCCGCCCGGGGCCGATCCCCGCGGATCCGGGACCGGAGCAGGGTCGGGACCGGAGCAGGGTCGGGCCCGGCGCTACTCACGGGCGCAGGACGAGCCCCCGCAGCCGGAACGCGGAGCCGAGGCGGCGCCGCAGCCGCTCGGGCTCCATGGCGGCCGTGGCGCCAAACGCGGCCGGGCCGCCCCCTCAGGCCGGGCCGGCCCCGCGCGGGAGGAGCCCGGCACGGCCCCGCTCGGCCCGGGTGGGGACAGCGCCGGTGCCGGGCGCGGGGCAGGGGTTGTCCCCTCAGCTGGCACCGATGGGCACCGCCAGGCTCCTCGTGATAAGAGACATGGAGGGGCTGGAGCGTGTCCAGGGAAGGGAACAGAGCTGGGAAGGGTCTGGAGCCCCAGGAGAGGCTGAGGGAGCTGGGAAGGGGCTGAGCCTGGAGCACAGGAGGCTCAGGGGCCCTTGTGGCTCTGCACAGCTCCTGCCAGGAGGGGACAGCCGGGGGGTCGGGCTGTGCTCCAGGGAACAGGGACAGGAGCAGAGGGAACGGCCTCAGGCTGGGCCAGGGCAGCTCAGGGTGGGCACAGCAGGAATTTCCCCATGGAAAGGGGGATCAGGCCTGGCACAGGGTTCCAGGGCAGTGGTGGAGTCCCCATCCTTGGAAAGATTTAAACACCGTGTGGATGTGGCATATGGGGACACGGGGCAGCGGTGGCCTTGGCAGACTCCACCTTCACAGAGGGCTTTTCCTCCCTAAACAGTTCCCTGATTCCATAAAACTTGCTGTGACTGGCACAAGGTACCCAATACAATTATCCACGGTATCACTTTGTTCCTTTACAGGCGCTGTAGCTCACAATATCTCTCCCTGCTCTTCCCTGTAGGCCCAGCACAGGCTCCTCTGCATCTCCAGTACTCCAGAGTCTCTCCCACGTCAGATTTTCTTGCCACAAAACATCCATCAAACACATCTGACTGTGAATTGGTCCTGTGAGCACAGGATGCTCTCCAGGGCTGTGTTTATATAATCACAGCATCCCAGAATGGTTTGGATGAGAAGAGACCTTAAAACTCATCTCATCCCACCCCCTGCCATGGAGAGGAGCATTTTCCACTGTCCCAGCTTGCTCAAAGCCTTATCCAGCCTGGCCTTGGACACTTTCAGAGATCCAGGGACAGCCACAGTTCCAGGATTGTGGAGTAGCTGCCTTCTCTCCAGATGGAAAACACACCTGATATTTCATTCAAACACTCATCCCCATCTCTCAAAGTACAGCTTGATTCCACAGAAGGCTCACAAAGCGACTCTTGAAAGAGTTTGATCGAAAGACTGCGGGGATTTAAAGACAGACAGAAAATGTCAGCTATTTTCCATAGCCCATTCTCAACTGCATAATTTATAATTGCTCCTCATCAGAGAGTGAGCTCATGGGTGAAGCTGCTGCTACTCTCTTCAGACAAAGAGCTGCCATCTGACAGGTCTCAGCTATTTTGGCAGGAAATATGATTCATTTTTTTGTCACAGGAATGCAGCTAGGTGCAAATTATAAGCCCAATTCTTACATAAGTACCTTCATTTGCTAAAATTACTGCTTATTCTCCTTCTAAGAAAACCTGATGCTGCCATTCAGCTCCTGTCTCGCCACATGAAGGAAGGTGCACCTGGAGAAGGGATGTGCCCCTCATCCAAAAATAGTTTTCTCTAAAGCTATGACCAACCAGGGAATGTAAAGCACACTCCTACAGCATCCTGCTGGATTTGGGGGCTCTCTTAGCTTGCCTGGAGCCTCCCACCAGAGATATAAAAGTATTCCAGTGTGAGCTGCAGCCTTGTGTTCCACTGAGCCATCTGCAGCTCTGCAAGCCGTGCCCAGATCTTTGTCAGCTCCCGTTGGAGATCACAGCAGCTGGAGAGTGACTGGAGAGAGCCCAGTGCTCCAGGATCAGCCAGCATGGATCTACCTGGATCCATGGAATTGTTTTGTTACACTGACAAACAGCTCATTTCCATGTCTGTCACTGCTCCACTGGCAAAATCCCATCTCCTGAGGCAGCACATTGCAGCTCTGCCTGACCTAGAGATCCATGGACAGAGTTTGTCTGCTTCCCGTGGCTTTTTTACATCTTCCAAATGCTGACTCCTGCATTTTAACCACCATCCCAATGCACCATCAGTACCTTGCCTCATTTGAGGAGTTCAGGACAGGTCCTGATCTCTGTGTCACCACTGAGAGAATACCTGGAGCTGTGCCAGGGGAGCTTTGGGTTGGATCTCAGGGAAAGGTTCTTCCCCAGAGGGGGCTGGCACTGCCCAGGCTCCCCAGGAATGGGCACAGCCCCGAGGCAGCCAGACCTCCAGGAGCTGCCAGGGATCCCAGGGTGGGATTGCTGGGGGTCTGGGCAGGGCCAGGAGCTGCCCTGGCTGATCCCCGTGGGTCTCTTCCAATTCAGGAGAGTCCAGGATTAATATTACCAGTTTATCAATGCAAATAATTAACATCTTCCCTCCTACATCCAGCAGAGGAAGTGCATGTCCCACTGTCACAAGGAAATCTTGACAGTTACTTTCTGGTGCTGTTTTATAAGATGCTAAAGTGCACATTTCTCCCCAAGTTCTACTCTACTATTTCTGAAGAGCTGTACCTGTTTTATTTTGAATTCCATTAATTCCAGCTGGACACAGAGTTCAGCAGGAACTGACTCAGTTGTTGATAAAACACAGTAAGAACTGGAACTGTCCAACTGTTTAATTAACATCCGCTGCTATTTCATAGCTGCTGCTTCTGGCAGTGGCTTGTCCCACCTTCAGAGACACAGGGAGCTCTGCTGTGCTTGTCTTATCACAGAATCCACAGGATCATGGAATGGTTTGGGCTGGAAGGGACATTAAAGCCGATTTCATTCCATATTGCCATGGCAGGGACACCTTGCACTGTCCCAGGCTGCTCCAAGCCCCAAAGTCCAACCTGGCCATGGGCACTGCCAGGGATCCCAGCTGCTCTGGGAATTCCATTCCAGGGAGGAATTCCTTCCCAATATCCCACCCATCCCTGCCCTCTGGCAGTTTGAAGCCATTCCCCCTGTCCATCACTCCTTGTCCTTGCCCGGAGCCTTAAACCCCGTCCCGCTTCGGGACCCGGCTCCTCCCTCCCTTCTTGCCCTGTGGTTTGCGTTTAGCTCTCCTATTCTCGGTGCTTCTTTCCTCCTCTCGCGCCCATTATTCACATCCTCCCGCATTATTCACATCCTCCCGCACGGTTTATTCCGCCTCACACCTCAGCCCGGCACTGCAGCCCGGCACCGGGGGCAGCGCGGGGCTCTCCGTCCGTCCGCTCCCATCCCGACGCGCGCCGGGTGCCGCCCCACACTTTGGACCCTCCTCGCTTCCCGTCCGCCCCAGGGGAGCGACCGGCGGCGGAGCCGCAGCTTCACCCGGAGGAGGCGGTGGCGGGACGCGAGCCCTGAGGCGGCCGAGCCGCTTCCTCCTCCTCCCTCCTCCTCCTCCTCCTCTTCCTCCCCCCCAAGATGGCGGCGGACCCCGCGGATCAGTTCTGCGTGGCCGAGGAGCGCAGCGGCCACTGCGCCGTGGTGGACGGCAACTTTCTCTACGTGTGGGGCGGATACGTGGTAAGGCGGGCGGGGGAGCCGGGAAGGAGCGGCGGGAGCGGGTTCCGGGCGCGGGGAGCGGAGCCCCGGGCGGGGCAGGGTGGGGGGGGGATCCCCCCGCCAGCCCTCAGCCCTCGGCGGGCGCTCGGGGCTGTGGCGCGGGCGCTGATTGGCTGCGGCGGCCGCGCGCCGTTCGAATGGCGGCGGGAGGCGCTGAGGGGACGGCTCTGAGGGGACGGCGCTGAGGGGATGGCGGGGCCGCTCCCACCGCCTCGTCCCGCCAGCCTTTCCCTGCGCCATCAGCGCCCTCCTCCTGGCCCGCTCGCCGCCGCTCCGTCGCGCAGCACGTGTGGGGAAGGGCTGGCGGAGCCGGTTCGCTGCCGGCCCCTTGCGACGCGCCCTTGCTCCGCTCCTCAGCGCGTCTCCCTTTTTTTGCCCCGACGCTGTAATTTGTGGCTCAGTTTTTCCAGGGTGTAATTTCCAGGGTGTCCTCGCTGCTGAGTCCACGTGGTTTTTTTATTTGTTAGGAGTTGTGTGGCGCTTACAGCGCGTTTTCCTCCTGTCGTCTCAAAAACAAGCAGGCTGAAGCCCACCCACAATTTAATTTTTTTTTTTCTCCATAAAAAGAATACTTTTGGTTCTGTCATAAGTAAATTCTTGTGTCTTATAACTCTGTGAATTCAACCCAAAAGGGAGATAAGAATAATACTACGTTTAATACACCCACTCAGTTTTACCTGTTATTTTTCTGTTGATATTCATCTATTCATCTTGTCTGCCTGTGCACATTGGCCATAAAATTGAAAATGCCTGTGCTTGGTGTAATTCCTTAATCAGGTGGAAACTATTACTTCTATAAAGATATTTCATATTCTATATATATTTTTTCATGGTGTAAGGTAACTTTAAAGTGTTTAAAGTTTGTCCTTCGTACTTAAGCAAAGAAATCTAATGGGAAACTCCTGGATTTAAACTCCATAATACTCTGTAGAACTAAATATCTCCTAAATCACTGGTAATCTTCAGTAGATTTTATGCTCTGGTCTTTAAAACTCAGGTTGAACTAATGATCACCATGTTTTCAAAGGTTTTCTAATAAAAAATTGTGGTTTCATGGTACATTCAAAACAGTGTACGTGAAGTTTAGCAGATAAACTTTGCAAGTGTTCTTGGTAGTACTACGTATTTATCTGCTAAAATATTATGAAAGTTGTTGCTCTGTGAGCAGCCCTTTACACAGATAAATCATTTTTCACGTGTTGCTGCTGGACTCCTGCCCAGCAAACTTTATTTTTGGCATCAGAGTGTTTGCTCAGAGCTGGTTCTGGAGCAGGTGCTCGACCTCTGGCATCTCCAGATTAAACTGAGTCAACTTGTGCTCCTTGCAGACGCTGCCAGGGCTGTGTAACAGCAGAGCAGAGGTGCCTGGCAGAATAAATTACCAAAAATTTACCAAATAAAATAAATTGCCAAAAAAAACCAGGTGCTTGGCACCTCTCAGAGTGAGAAATTCATAACAAAACATCATTTGAAGGCAAGTCGTCCATATCAGTAGCTGGATTGTCACTAATTAAATTTCAGTTTTGTGTTTAACTTCCTCACATTCGTTTAATTTTGAGGCAGTTTTTATTTGTTTACTGACTCTGGCTGCTTACTCACTGCCAGGCTTTAATTTCTTCCTAGTGCCAAGGCAGTAATTAATGCTGCAGTTGTTACTCACCATGAGTACTGCATTTTTTTGGGCTTCCTCTCCTGTTTGTTGTTTTTCCTCATCATTATTTCCTAAATTATTTATCTTTCTTAATGACCTCTGTTCAGGACTCTTCATAAATCTTTTTTTTTTTCCACAGAAGAATTAATTTGCTCCTTTATATTTGGTCTTTCAAGTTACTGCTGCAAGTAACTTCTGTGTTTTCAGTCTGTTTTTATATTCTGTTTTTTTATTTTTCCACTATGCCCATGGATAAAAAGTACCTAACTGAGTTTTAATTCAGGAGCTTCAAATCTGGTTGATGTCGTTGCACATCTTTCCTTAGCAAACTGAATTTGGTCGATCTGTGCCTTTATTGAGCAGTCCTGAGGAGGAATGAGTTGTTTATTTTTAAAATAAATTCATTTTCTGATCGGAGCAGTAACGCTGGAGCGTGACTTTGAGTTCCTTGAGATCATCCCTTGTTGCTGAGGAACGTGGCTTGGCACTTCTGCCCATGGATAAAAAGTACCTAAATGAGTTTTAATTCAGGAGCTTCAAATCTGGTTGATGTCGTTGCACATCTTTCCTTAGCAAGCTGAATTTGGTCGATCTGTGCCTTTATTGAGCAGTCCTGAGGAGGAATGAGTTGTTTATTTTTAAAATAAATTCATTTTCTGATCGGAGCAGTAACGCTGGAGCGTGACTTTGAGATCATTCCGTGTTGCTGAGGAGCGTGGCTTGGCATTTCATGTGCAAACACAAAAAGCAGAAGTGATTGAGCATTTTCACGTTCCCCTTTCAGTCCATTGAAGAAAATGAAGTTTATCTGCCCAGCGATGAGCTCTGGATCTACGACATGGACAGTGGGCTCTGGTGAGTTCAATGAATTCAGTGATGCTGAATTATTACCTGCAGCTGGTTTTGTCTCTGCTCTGCAGGGAGAAGCCCTCAGGGACCTTGGTTGTGTCAAACAGCAGGCGTTCAGTGTCAGCACTGAGGGACAGACCTGAGCTCCAGGAAGCACAGTCCCTGCTCAAGGCTAACGTTATGTTTGCCCAATGATCCAATCACAAATAAAAGGCCAAACAAAATTAAATGTAACAATAATTTTAATAGAATTTAAATGAAATAGTTTAAAATATATAAACTTGAATGCATTCAATAAATTGACAGTGTAATTTGGTTATAATAAAATATATTTTGGTTCGGGTAATGACGCATCAGCAAAATTACCGCGGGGTACGGAGCATGAGGGCCTGGGGACCCCTGCCACCTCACGGACAAGCTTGCCAAGCCCAAAATTCCCCCTTTATCCTGTCTATTATCAGCATCCCCTCCTATTTTCCATTCATCACTCCGGTGTCTCCACCCTCATCTTCATCTTTTAGGGGGTCGCACCACTCTTTGGGGGTCATCCAGATGAAGGCCGCTCCTCTTCCTCAGGTGTCCTTTATTTCACCTTTGGGTTACACATGCACACCAAGCTAATATCATATATGCCAAACCAAAGTTATATAAGCCAATATAATAAATCTTGTAAATTAACATATTTCTGATTTCCACCCAAGTTTTCCCTCTTTCAGTTAATTTTAGCAAGCTTTATCTGACTCCTTTTCCTGCCTTGAACATCTGCAGAAGATAATGGGGGGGGGGGGGACCCTTCCCCACCGCTTTCCTAGCTTTTTACCTTTTTAACCATTTTGTTATCTCCAAATATTGATTACTATATCCATATTGATTACTGTTTCAATTTTATCAGCCCGAATCACACCTATTTATCACACTAATTATTGTGTGCAGGGGAGTGGTGGAAAGGGTTGGCTCCAGGCTCTGTTAGCACAGGTGCATTTACTTGCCAGTTTATTTTGGCTTAGGTTTTTTACACTCACTTTTATGTTAGAACAGTTAAACACTGGCTGCTTGGGCTCTTGATCTAGTTACAGTTATGTATTTATTAATTTTTGTATTAATTCCATGTGTATTGCTACTCAAAAATAACTCAGAACTTCCCCTTTTTCTCTTTCCGTCCACTTTCTTTATTTCCTCCCAAAAATAACTCAGAACTTGCCCTTTTTCCTTCCACTTTGTTTTTTCCTGCCTTTTTTCTCTTTCCCTCCATTTTCTTTTTCCTCCCCTTTTTGTTTCCTTCTTCCCCTCCTTTTTTGTTACCTCCTTCCCCTTTTTTTTGTCTCTTCTCTTCTCTTCTCTTCTCTTCTCTTCTCTTCTCTTCTCTTCTCTTCTCTTCTCTTCTCTCTCCTGCCCTTTCTTCCCTTTCCCCCTTTCTCTTGCCCCATTTTTCCCCCTTTCTCTCTCTTGCCCCTTTTCCCCCATTTCTTTCTCCCTGCAGACCATGATTTGCTGTCCTTCCTGTGCCCAAAGCCCCTTCACACTCCCTTGGTTTTCCTTTCTGTGCTCCCAGGGAAGTGATCTGGGGTGAACAGCATTTTCCAGGTTATATTTAACCAGGATCTCCTGGCCTGCCTGAGCTCTCAGCACAGCTCCACGCTGAGTGCAGGGCACAGCAGAATCTCAGTTTTCCATTTCTGACATCCCAGCAATGCCAGATTCTCATTTCAGGAGTTCCTGGAGTTAATAATATTTCCAGATTCTGAGTAATTAATGTTTCAGCTCTACTAAAGCTCTCCTAAAGTGAATTTCACCTCCAGAAGAATCAAGATACTTTATAAACACACAATATCCACCTGGAAGTTCTCTCCCACCACAGGAGCCCAACCTCACCTGCAGCTCCTGCTCCTAGTTATGGCCCAAACTGTATTTTCACCTTTAAGTCTAAAAATTCTGGATAAATCTGTTTGGGATTGTTACATTTTGGCAGATTGGAAGGGACTTAATGTATTTTTTTTAAAATTGCAGGACAATGCACCTGATGGAAGGGGAGTTACCCACCTCCATGTCAGGCAGCTGTGGGGCCAGCATCAATGGGAAGCTGTACATTTTTGGGGGATTTGATGATAAAGGATACAGCAATCGGGTATTGTAGTCTTTTTTCCCCCATAATATTGTATTTTCACAAGTATTAATACTGACCTTGCTGTTTATTTGGTGTATTTGTATTTGAATTAAAGAGAAATTTGAGGAACAGCTTTATTTTTTTAAAACCTTCTATATTTATGCCAGTGCTTTCCCAATTGGTTTTAAAAAAATATTCTGACAACCTTAATTGAGGCTAATCTCTGAATATCACTTTTCTTTTTGCTCTTTGATAGCAATTCACTGCTTTAAATAATCAGGTAATAATTAAGGTTAAAATAGAGCTACCAGCTTTGCTTGTAACTGAAAACTGAATTAACAAAATAGATTAAATCAGTTGCCTCATAATGGAATATAAATAATGTCCCAGTTGACTCCTGACTAGGAAATCAGTGAAATGGAGCCTCTGGTGAAACTTTCTGCCAATTCTCCCATTTTAACTTCGTTTTTGTGGTGTATTTCTCATTGTAAACTCACTGCCAGTTCCTCTGTTACTTCCAGGCTTCTGGGGCTGGTGGGTTGTTTTTTTCTGGTGGTGATTTGTGGGTTTTTTTCTGAAAATATTGTCATTTTTCTTTCCTTTCAAGCTGTATTACGTCAATTTGAGAACAAAAACCGGAACCTACAGGTGGAAAAAAATCACAAATTTTAAAGGTCAGCCTCCCACACCCCGTGACAAACTTTCCTGCTGGGTGTACAAAAACAGGTAACACGTTAAAAATACTTAATTTGTGTTAATTGCAGAGAGAAGGGGTTAAAAAGTGAAGAGAACTCAGGGTTGGCATGGAGGGAACTGATTTTTAGCTTGACTTGCTGGGGGATTTTGTAACAACTTTGTACCAGAGTTTTCTCAGGTGTGAGCTGCAGTAACAAATAAAACCCCACTTCAGGAGAGGGCTGGGATCTCTAGGGCAAGTTTGTGGAATGTTTTACACTTCAGAAAGCTGTCATGCATCTATTACATGATTTCAACACGTTAAAAACCAGTATAAAATTACTTTCTCTGCAAGGTTCATTATTTTAAGCATTAAATTATTACCTGCAATAAATCCATGCAGTGTGTTCCCAAGGATTTTAACAGCTGGCAGTTGCAGAGGCATTTCAGGGATTATCTTTGTCTTGCAAGGACTGAGTCAGTCCTTTGGAAAAGTGACTAAGTGTGTTTAGAAAACAGGCTTGGCTAAACAGAAATACTCCAGATTTTCTGTTTGTTATGGAAAATGTCTGGGTAATGAGGCAGAAGTGATCACAAGCAGGTGCCCTGTCAGTGATTTGTTGTTGAATCTGTTACAAACAAGTCAGGATGTGATTTATAGTGCACATTTATCAGATGGAAATGATTTATCTCTTTCTGGACTTCACATCTAAAGAGGTTTTGCATAAGCTGTGCAGTTTCCCTGAGTGCCAGATCTTGGGTTTGTAATTCAAATTTAACTGCAGGAGATGGAAAATACAGATATTTGAACAGCTCCCTAGCTGTTAACACAAGATTATTCAAAACTAAATGCATTTATTCAAAGTGTTGTGTCACCTGCATGCTAGAAAATCACCTGGTTTGGATGATAGAATGGAACCCTTTGATGGAAAAAAAGATGATTTAGGAATGGCCCTTTCCTGGGTGGAATATTAGGCTGGGAGGTGTGTGAGGATCCTTGCAATGGGAGGCTCAGTGGTGCTTGGTTCAAAAATTTTATTTTAAGCCAAAAAGAGACTTTTTGTGTCCTGTGGGACAAACCTTGGGAACATTTCCTGCCAAAAATAGGACACACAAAACAAAAAACGCAGCAGGAGCATGGGAACTTCACTAGAGAAGGAGGCATTTCACTGTGCTGGGGTTTATTTCCCATTTTTGCCTGAGAACAGCACTGGAAATAAACTTTTGGGGAGAGGAGCAGAGACGTGGAGGTGTCCTGAATGATTTCCTTGTGTGGGTGACAGTCAGGTTTGCTCAGGGCGTGGCTGTGACCTTCTCCTCGTTGTGTTTGCATCATCAGGTGCAACACAAAATACTCTCATTGTTTGTATTGCTGCTAGTGCAGCAGTGACCCAAAATACTCATTACTGCAGCTGATGCATTTTAATTTTCCCTACAGAAGAATGAAGTGGTTTTGTTGTTTCAGGCTAGTTTATTTTGGAGGTTATGGCTGCAGGAAGCACAACGAGCTCAGCGATTGTTTCGACGTCCACGATGCATTTTGGGTAAGAGATTTGTCCCCATTCCCACTGATTGCTGCTTTCTGATTGGGAAAAAAAAACATCCTTTCTATCACCCTTGATGAGCATGGAAATCTGATTTTTCTTTTATTTATAGCATCAGCAGAAATGCAAATTTGGAATCTTTTTTAAGGTCTAAAATTCCAGATACTGCACGTTGGGAGTGGTGGTTGTTCCACATATTCCAAACTCCCAGTGCTGGGCTTGGAGTGCAGTGAATTAAATGCTGTCAAAGTGGGGAAAAGGTAGGATAAAAAGGCATATTTTAAAGCTGAAAATCCCAGAAAAACTTAATAATTTTTATAATTTAATCTAATCATTTTTATAGTTTATTTCTAACCTAAAGTTAGAAATACTTTATAGCTTCACACATCTAGCTGACTTCAGTTAGAAACAGCTAGATGTGTGAAGCTATCAAGTACCTAAACATTAGGTACTTGATAGCTTCACACATCTAGCTGACTTATTTGTCTAGCTGACAAATACTCTGACTTAATTTATTGAATTACTTTCCAGAAGGATGCCTGGATGATCAACTTCCCTACAGTAATTCCTTACAATTAGTACAAAGATGACTGAGCAGAGTATTGACAGGAAGCTCCTGACATCAGTTGTTAAAGACTGACACCCAAGAATTGTTTTTTTACAATCTCTTAATTTCTCAGTGTGTTACAACAAAATTTCGAAGGTGAAATTTGCTGCAGTGTCAGATGTTGGGGCCCAAATTCAATTTTCAGGTGTCACCAGCCTGAACATCCCTGGGTGCTGCTGACCTTCAAGTGAATCTAAGCTGCTGCAGCATTCTTAAAATATCACCACACATTTTCATGGAATTGCCTGTTTTAGTGTCTTTTCTGTTTGGACAGATCCCTTCCAGCTTCGTGTCCTTCACTAAGCAGAAAGATATTAAAATAATTTTTTATTTCTCTTTTTTTTTTTTTAGGAAGGGCAGATATTCTGGGGATGGCACAATGATGTTCATGTGTTTGATACAACCACACAGACTTGGTCTCAACCAACAATTCGAGTGAGTGATTTCAGTCTCACATCCTGACGCTGTTGGGATTTTACTGACTTTTGAATAATTATTGTGCTTTAGAAATTTGGGACACCTTCCACTGTCCCAGGCTGCTCCAAGCCCTGTCCAGCCTGGCCTTGGGCACGTCAGGGATCCAGGGGCAGCCACAGCAAATCTGGCAATTCCAAGTTCCCAATCTCCCATCCATCCCTGCCCTCTGGCAGTGGAAGCCATTCCCTGTGTCCTGTCCCTCCATCCTTGTCCCCAGTCCCTCTCCAGCTCTCCTGGAGCCCCTTCAGGCCCTGCCAGGGGCTCTGAGCTCTCCCTGGAGCCTTCTCCAGGTGACCATTCCCAGTTTTCCCAGCAGAAGGGCTCCAGCCCTCTGGAAATCTGTGTCCATGTGTAATTACCACGGATAACCTGTCACAGATAACAGGAGAGCTCTGCCTTATTGAGATAAAAATATTCTCTAAAGTTCATAAAATCCAGGTGAGTTTATGTAAGAACTCAGCAGAAGTTGTATATTTTAAACAGTGTCTGGCAGCTTTTATAGTCTTTACAAGATGTTCTAAAATCCCTTTAAAACCAAATGCAAAATGTAAAATTACCATTGCAAAGTAAAACCCAGTTTTTCCACCTTCAGCCCTGATTTACACAGGGAGAACTTTTTGGCACGTGGCTATAGCATCAAATTTTAAGGTGTGATTTCCAGAGGTTTTAGTAGCAGTTCCTGATGATTTGTAGATCAGAAAATGAAACTGTCCAGGAGGTTGCTGGTGTTCTGAAGGATTATTTTGCTTCTTCCAGGGTGGAGATCCACCTCAGCCTCGAGCAGCTCACACGTGTGCTGTGCTGGGAAATAAAGGTTACATCTTTGGAGGACGAGTGCTGGTAATTCAATATTTTCTTAGCAGTCATATTATTCTCCTGGCAGTTTTCTTTCTTTTTTTTTCTTGTCATTTTGTAGTAGGAAAAAAAAAAATCCCAAATGTCTTTGGCCTAACCTGGATGTTCAGGGCTCTGAATCCAGGATGCTGCTTGTCATCACTCTCTACAAAAAGAAGAATATTTCTGTCTGTAATGTTAATGATTGTCCCAAAAAAGGTAAAACACAGATGACTGTGTGGTAAATAACAGATTTGAGTTGGCTTTCTAATTGAATTTTGCTACTTTTTGCACATAAGTGACTGAAATAGAGATGTCTGGAAGAGGTCATAAACAAAAGGATGCAATCTGTGCATAAATAATTTAGGGTTGCATTGTGGCTGTGTCATTTTTACTCTTCCTGACTCTTTTTAACTGCAAAAAGCCATAGGCACCACCCCCCTGATTAAAGCAGGGAGATACTCCAACCTCTCAGCAGCACTTGGAATTTCTCCAGTGCTAATTAAAGGAGATTTTCTACTCAGTTCCTCTCTGCTGGAGCGTTGATGTAAGAAACAGATCCTGTAAGGCAAGTTAAAAGCCCTCCCAATTTCAGTGACTGTGCACTCTTGTGTTTTATTTTAATTGAAGTTTTTAGCTCTTTTCACTACAGCTGATTTAGAACCTTTAATCCTACTCAGCTAGAGGATGAGCCTGGATGTTTTCTATCTCCAAAACTGACAGTGAAGAAGCTTCTGAGAGCCCCCAGTGCTGTGTTCCTGTAGTTCTGGTCTAAAAAAGAGAAGGAATTAGTTTGGGAATGAACATATTCCAGCTCCACCTTGGAAAGCTGCCACAGCCTCACCCTTGTATTCCCAAATCCTGGCAAAGCAAGCAGTGTAAAACTGCGTTTTGTTCCCCATTCCCTGATTTTCCTGCTGGAATATTCCTTTGGCTAATCTGCACTCCTTCCACTCCTGCTGCTCAGTGACCACACCGTGTCCAGCCACTTCCCACACCTGCAGGAAGTTTTTATTTAAGTGCCTTTCCAGAGCAAACAGAAAAGAAAATAATGAAAATGGATCCTGTTTGTTCCTGCCATTATGTGACCTTTGATTCAGGATCTCTGGAATTGTTCCTCAAGCCTGAGAGAGCTGCACTCAGCACCTCCCAGAGCTGTAGGTTTGGACAATCTGGGTTTGGAGATAACTGAAGGAAACAAAGAGATGTGAGGAGAGTGAAAATCAGGGTTATCCATGCCCTGAGTGAGCCCTGTGCCCTGTCCTGTGCGCCCACAGCTGAACCCTTGCTGACCACAGCCCAGTCCTGCTCCTCCCTCAGGGAAAGCCCCAAAAGTGGGGCTGTAAAGGTCCCTTGGATGGTTTGGTCCTGCCCTGCCCGTTCCTCCTGAGCACCTGCAAAGCCTCCTTCCCCAGGGCTCTGTCAGGGAGGGCTCTGTGCCCTCCCTGGGGTTGCTGCACTCTTGAGCTGCTCTCTAACTCCAGCTGGGGTTCCTTGCAGCCTCTGCCAGTGAAATTCTGATTGAGCTGGAGCTCACCTGGCATTCCTCCTCTGCCCTCAGAGGGTTTGCCCTCAGGCTTCTGTTGAACTCTGTTTGACTACAGCATTCTGGTCCTAAAAGGTTTTTCTCTTCAGCTTCCTTAAAAACTTGCTAAATTTCAGTGAAACCACTTGGGAACCCGTGTCAGAAATTGTGGAAAGCTGTGTTTAATTCTGTAGGAGAGCAGCAAGTGTAATTTTCACCTTGGTGATTATTATTGATCCGTTTTCTATCCTAGAAATAAATGGAAGGAAACATAAAAAGGTGAGGGAACATTCAGTGGGGCTTGAGGAATTAATGTAAGTCATGAAAAGAAAAAGCTAAAGACAGCAGAAAGCCAGTAAATTTCCTGACACCAGGAATAATTCCTCCCCAAAGGATGAAATTTTGCTTTTCTCCAGAAATTAAGGAGCAAACACGGGGTTGCTCTGCTCCTCCTTCTCCTTCTAGTTCACCATAATACAAATCTTCCCAGGGAAAAGGCTCTGCAAGGAACCAGAAAGGGCCAGGAAGTGTCATGAGGCTTCTCCTATTCATCTTTCTGGGAGGAAAGGGCACCTTTTTCCAAACTTGGAGCTAGAACTGGTAAAAGAAGATGATGATGATGATGATGGTGATGATGATGAGAATCAGTTGTACCAGGAATCATTTGAAAACAGGCTCAGAAGTGTTATGTGGACTCAGTTCCTTCAGGTAAGCCCCTGGAAAAACAGAAATGGGAGAAAGTGGGAAGGAAGGAGAGTTAGTCCAGAAGTTGATGCGAGTCTTATGTTTGATTTAAGTGGAAAATTTTCATGTTGAGAATGAAGTGAATAAACCAAAGTCTTTGCAGCAGCTCTTCACACATCTGGTGCCTTAATGTAAGCATGTTTCTATTTCCTGTCAGCTAAGCTCAGAAGATCCGTGGAGCTGCAATCCTTCTCTTGGCAAAGCTTGGAGCTGGACTAGCTTTTGATTGTAAATCCAGGAGGGAGAGCTGCAGAATTCCCTGTCCCAGCAGGGAGCTGGGAATAATGTCACCCTTAAAGCCTCTCATGGTGCTAATCCTGAGACCAAGCAGCTCCTGCCTAACGTGCACTGGGCTGCCAAGACATCAACTTGCCAGAGATGAGCAGAGTGCCTCAGGAGCCCTTGGAGCTCCGAGGGAAATTCCAACCCTCCTAGGAGGCTTGGTGCTCTTAAGCCTATTAAAAATCATTTCAGGATTGGCAGCAGAATGATGAAATAGAGGAGGACAGAGAAGTGCATGAGAAGCTGCAGGAGAGCTGTGTGGCAAGTGATGGTCCTGTAAACCTGTGTGGCTCCAGCTTCCCAAAGAAGGGTTGGGTAGAAAGGTGCTTTTATTTGTTAAAGGCCTCAGTCTTGGACAGTTGGTGTTTTGAATTCACAATGAGGTTGCTGTAATTCTGCATCTGCCCAGCTGTTGAACCATGAGAATGCAAAGATTTTTTGATTTCCCAGGGAGCAGGAAAGAGAATTTCTCCATCTTCTGCCCAATGCCCAGGAAAGGAAAGTCAGCGAGGAGGTCTTGAAAGGATCCTCTTGAAACCTTAATTTTCACCATAACAGCAACTTCCTTTGATAGATATCCTTTATATCAAATTGTGTCACTCCAACGTGATTGAGTATTTCCAGTTGTAGAGGCCAGGATGTTGGGTTTGCCCCAAATGTACAGAAGATCCCAACTGCATTTTGCTTTCAGCTTGGATGATTTGATCCCCTCATGCCCTTCAAAGGCACCAGGAGCAGTAGGAAACTGGAGAGAGGTGTCATGGAAGACAGATCTGTTCCCCTGGCTGTCAGCTGGACCACACTTGGTTGGTTTTAGGTTGTTTTTAGGCAATGCCCCAAACCCTGACAATCTGCTTGTCTTTATCCTGTTGCCCTCCCCAAAATGCTCTTCCCATTCCCTTCCCAGCCCAGCAGGGTTAGCAGTGCTTGGCAGAGGAGGTTGTAGAATTCCTGAAATCCCTGAGAGACTTCCCAGAGCTCTGCTGGGCAGCTCTGGGGGTCCCTCAGCCTCACTGCTGGGGTACAAGCACTCCTTTCAGCCTAGTTCTGCCTCAGAGGATCTGCAAGCTGGAGAAAGGCTTTTTCTAATAGATCTATGGACTGCCCAGGGAGAAAAGGAGTTGGAAGGTAAGGCAAGAAACATTTCCCTACTTCCCAGATGGTTTTTGTAGTTCCCAGGGGAATCACAGCTCCCAGGCAAGCAAAGAATTCCTTTTACCACCTTCTCCACCACCCCGAGGCAGGCAGAGACTTCCTCCATCTCAAACCCCAGGCAGATGAGCAAGAGGAAAGATTTCCCATTTTATTTGATGGCAAATGCTTGCTGGTGGTCACTTTGTGAAAGGAAAGCAGGGAAAAGCACAAATGATGGACATTTCTGGGAATAGCCAGAGTGCAGCACTACCAGGATACTCCAAGGAGTAGTGACCAGACAGGAGGATCCAAACTTCTGATCACAGTGTCAAGGAAAATAACACCAGGCAACAATAGGAGAGTAAAACACCTTCTGCATTGCCCTGCCAGGAGTTCTGTGGATGGAAATTAAAAACATTTGCAGGAACTGGATAAATCCCCACAAAGTTCTTCACTTTTAGAAGCTAAAATTGGCCCCATAGTGCTGTTGCATGACTGGGAATATTTCTGCCAGGCACTTTCCTGAGAGTTGCATGGTTTTTGTGAGGAGAAAAGCTTTTCATCTGCCACATAATTCAGATTTATATTAAGGCAAGTGGGTACAGATTTCTTCAAACTATTGGTACTTGGAATATTCTGTCCCAGGAAGGCCTCACTGGAATATTTTGTTTATTGTTTGCTTAAAATAACCCAAGTGGGATTTTATTTCTTTGTTTTAGCAAACCAGAATGAATGATTTGCACTGCCTGAATTTAGACACTTGGACTTGGTCTGGAAGGTAGGTTTGCTTTTGTAACACTTAAAACTGAATTTAGAAGATGGAAACATATTGTTAAATAGTTCCAGAGCTACTCCTGCAGCTTTTCCAAGAGGAGAATGAGGGTTTGGGGACTCCTAACAGCTGCTGGGCTGGGATTTCAGTGGAATTGAGTTTTGATAGTGGTTACTGAGCTTTTCCTGCTCTGCACCAGAGCATTGATGGTGCTGTTTAAAGCACAGCATGGAGTGATTTAACACCCTCATTTGCAGCCTGGCTACATGTATCCAGATGGAATTCCAGGTTTTAGGGCTTTTTGAATGCTGGGTTTACTGTCTGTAGTTACAGCACAAATTGGGAAAAGGTCTTTTCCATAAAAGGCCATGAAATCCTCAAAAAATGAAGATTTTTCCAAAATTCAAGTTATTTCTGTATTGTGATCCAAGAAAAGCTCATAAGATTTATCCATGATTGAGTATAGTATCTATATAAAAATATTTATATATATATTGCTTCACTGTAAATTTATATATTAAATATATACATATTTATATTTATCTATTGGATCACTATAAATGTAGGAATCTTCTGTTCAGCTGTTGCAGCACCTCTGCAAAGAGTCCTTGAGAGACTAAAAAAAAAAGATTTAAGACTGAAAATAAATTAAAGATATTGGGGAAAGAGTTTTCACAGTATCTGCTACTGTTGCCACCTCACAGGAGATAAAATGTTTGTATTTATTATTATTATTATTTATTCCTCTGATCACAAAGGAGCCAATAATTATTAATTAATAGATGATTATTTTCTTTTTAACCAGTCAAGTTTTTTTTCTTACTCAACTCTGCCCAGCTTTCTTAAGGAATTGCATCATATGAATCTGCTAACCCAGGATTAGCATGCAGCACAATTCATTTCAGCTGCCACTGCCAGAAGTTGCTTGAGCTCTACTAAACTCATACAATATTTGGTTATTTCTGGTACTCATCACTTCTTCTGCATGAAAATTGAAATTTATCAGTTATCAGCATTGATATTATATTTTTTTTAACCATCAAAGCCCAGGCTGCCCCTTGGCCAATTTTAGAAGCCTCTTTTCTTCACTTGGATTCAAACAAACATTGCAACTTGGCCTTGAGTGCCAAATTTAGCAGGGCACTTTTGCAATCCCTGTTTAAGTATCTCTGATAAACTGGTTTTTTGGGATGTCAGGATCTTTACTGTTCACATTCTCAAGCAAACCCAACTAAAATAAAATCAATTTCAATACACCTCAGCTGAAATAGATTTCAGATGAGATTTTATCAATACTAAACCTTCATCTGTTCTGTACTTAGGAAATCCCCTCTTTACTAATATTTATTTCAAGTGTGGGTGAGCCCCAGCTTGAAGAGGTGGTAGCTTTTGGATCAGAGGTAAAGCCACAAATCCTTGTGTCATTTAAAATAATTTTCCTTGGAGTGGAGAGCCTGTAGCCCCTCAGGATTCATCAATTTTGTCTCAATTAACTGTTTCCCTACATGCATATGGAATTTATTTGTGTATTTAATCTCTTTTTTTCGCTGGGAAAACACCCAAGGTGGTTGCAGGACAAACTGAAATTTTCTGCCAAATTAATTTGAATTAAACAATTAAACAATTTCAGCATTGTTTGAAGATTTGGGGGTTTTGTTTCTTTGTTCCCCCCAGGATTAATATCAGTGGAGAGAAGCCCAGAGATCGCTCCTGGCACACGCTGACCCCCATAGGGGATGACAGACTTTTCCTTTTTGGTGGACTAAGCTCTGATAATGTTCCTTTGAGTGAGTAATTTAGGGTAATAGAAATCATTCTAATCCTGCTGTGAATTTCACATCACACAAACAGGGTTTGGGATGGTTGGTAGCAGTTGCTTTTGTAGAAAAGGCAGCTTGTTTCCGTGAAAAAAAACCTGAAATTGGCAAAAATTATTTGAAGCTAAATAATAATTTCACAGATAAATCCGCTGGGAGGAGATGATTTTCTCAATTTACCCAAAAGAAAGGGGTTGGGTGTGTTTTAATTCCAGGGCAGGGTGGTTCTGGGACAGCATTAAACCACAAGTGTGAAAAGATGCAGCTTCACAAAGGGCTGATGTTCCTGCTACCTAAATAATCGTGCTCTTAGAGCTGTTTGTGTGAATAAAAAGCTAATTTTTTGATCCCAAAAACCCCATTAATGAGCATTCTCCCATTGCAGGTGATGGTTGGATCCACAGCATTGCAACAAATGGATGGAAGCAGCTCACCCATCTGCCCAAGAGCAGGCCCAGGTACAGAAACACAAATCTTGTGGGCTGAAATGGAATCCTTTTTCAAAATGAACCACTTTTTAAATTACTGAACTGTATTTTAAAAGAATATTTTAGAATATTAATGCATTTTGCTTTAACACCTTTTTTTGCCATGTACCTCATTTTTAATTTGTGTATTTGATGCTTATTTGCATGAAAAGGTGGTTTTTTTGTGGTGAGGGATCTGGATGTCCAACTGGCCTGGTGCTCTGCAGCCAAATTACTGTTCTATAAACAAACCCATAAAAATTGGAGGAATAAATAACCAAGGAGAATAATAAAAGCTCATTAATACCTATAAATTATTAGAAACAGGGGAGGAGAGAACCATGAAAAAGTTGACTCCTCTTTCAGGGTTCAAAGGCAAAATTGAGTGTTAACCCAGTGTTTGAAGAATTACCTGTGTTTCTGAGTTACAAACTATTGAACTCATTTGCTGTAGATAGTAAATATTCAGATTTTCAATGAATTAATTCCCTGCATTCACCCAGGAACTCCCAGCACAATTTTATATCATAATATATATCACAATATATTTGTTTATTATTTTATTTATTATATTATTAATGCAATATTTATATCATATCACAGTTCTATATCCTTTTTTCTGATACAAAAATGTCCAGTTCTGCTCTGCTCCCTGCCTTGTTACTGAAATCTCTTCACCTTCATTATTGTTCTTCCTGTTTTATCCTGTTCTGGGCTGTCTCTCAAACACAACAGCCACAGCTAAACCAACTTTTCTGCCTTCTTACCCTTCAGACTCTTCTTCAGCCCTCAGCCTCACCAGATATTCAGTTTATGATCAGTGATACTTTGATGCTATTTCAGGACTGAGGAGTCTTTAAACACAGCAGGAGCAGCCAGGGCTCTGGGCTCAGTTCTTGAGTCTCCCAGACCTTCCCTGTGCTGAGGTTTTCCTGGGATGTGCTGGGGAGCAGCCCCAGGAGCAGCAGCTGTGCCTGGGAGGGACAGGGATCCCTGAGCCCCAGGGGTTCCCAGGGGATTTGGGTCCAGGAGCTCTCCTGGACCTAAATCTTTCTAGCACTAAAGGATCTCCCCTCCTTCAAGCAAAGCCCAAACCTCCTGGATTTCTCCAGGAAGTCCCAGACTTTTAAGGTTGGAAGGGAGCTCTGGAGAGCCTCCAGTGCAGCCCCCTGACGAGGCAGGGCCACCTGCAGCAGGTGACACTGGACGTGTCCAGGGGGGTTGGGATAAAAGCAGCCACGCCAAAAGCCTGGCCATGCACTGAGCTGCTTAAGTGTCAAGTATTTGTACCATAATTGTATTTTCTGCAGGATCTCTGCAGCTGGAAAAGCTTTAAATCAGTTCAGTTGCTCTTCAAATACATCTATGTGTACTTCTTTTATGTATTACTTTGTAATGAAATTTATTAGGGTCTTTTCCTGATGCTTCTGCAACTCTGATTCCCTCCCTAAATTCTGTAAAGAATAATTTCCTTCAACCTCCACTTTTAGCAATTTCTAAAGAATTGCCCTCTCAGGTGATCCTGAATTGGTAGAAAATACTGTTCCTCTCTCTATCCATCAATTTTAGTTTTGCATGCTGGGTTGAAATAAAGAACAAATTTTAACTCCTGGATTCCCAATGTTTTCATTCCCATAACTGGTAGAAAATACTGTTCCTTTTTCTGTCCATCAGTTTTACTCAGCCAACCTTTTGCATGCTGGGTTGAAACAGAGAACAAATGTTTAACCCCTGGAATTCCCCATGTTTTCATTGCCCTAATTGATATAAAATACTCTTCCTCCCTCTGTCCATCAATTTCAGTTTTGCATGCTGGGTTGAAACAGAGAACAAATGTTTAACCCCTGGATTCTCCTGTTTTCATTCCCATAACTGATATAAAATACTCTTCCTCCCTCTGTCCATCAATTTCAGTTTTGCATGCTGGGTTGAAACAAAGTGTTTAACCCCTGGATTCTCCTGTTTTCATTGCCATGTGATGCTGTTGCTGTGGTGAAGAGCCCTGTGTGATTGAATAACGTGCTCTGTTAGAATGTTTAGGTGATAAGTTAGAGCAGCCCATGGGAGGCCAGGAGCTCTCAGGCAGTAGGAAAAGCCTCAGGTTGCAAGCTAGGATGTCACCAGAGCCCAGGCAGGAAAGGCTTCCCCGTGTTCTCCGTGACCAAGCCCAGAGTTTCCCTAATGCAGAGCAGGCAGAGACAGATCTGTCACAGGTATGAGGAAGGGAAAAGGTGAGGTACCTGCTAAGGACTGATGTGAAGGGAGAAGGAAAGTGGGGACGTTGATTTTTGCATGAATCTTCAGTGGTGTGTTTGATTCTGGTTCAGTGGCTCTAAAGTCCATCAGCGGTGGTGACAGAGCAGAAAAATGGAATCATGACAAATAAATCCCCACCGGGGGTGGCTGCTGAAGGGGTAGGATCTTTGTGAAAGTTACAACGTCAGGCTTTGCTTTTGTGGGGTCTTTATGATTCAACTTCCTTGTGCTGGAAGTTACTGACTCACAGCAAGTGATCCCAGGAATCTCTGGGGGAAGGGAAGGACTGGAACAGGAGAACTGGAGATCCAAGTGCTCAGGGATCTGTGTCAGCACTGAGAACCCCCCCAGGCTGAAAGCCACGAGAAAATTGTTCTTCTGAACCAAAGAAAGTGGAAAATTGCAAAAGGAAAAGCTTGGCAAAAGCTTGGTTTGTAGAGTTGCCAAAAAATTTTCCACTGTGGTGATAAATAAGACAAAGTTTAAATGCCCAGAATACAGAAAAGTCAAATAATGACAAAATATATTGGTCTGTATGAAAATAACTCTCGTGAACTGGGGAGTCACATTGCTCTCTTATTTTATATTACTAAACAAACAAGTAATAAATTTTATGGTGTTCTTTTTTAGCTCTGAAATAATGGCTTTGTCTTGCTGCTAACACCCAGGTCCTTGTTCCTTGGGCCCTGATTGTGTCTGTGGTTTGATTTGCAGGTTGTGGCACACTGCCTGCCTCGGGCAGGAGGGAGAAGTGATGGTGTTTGGGGGCAGCAAAGATGATTTGCTTTTTATGGACACGGTCAGTAAACTGAACAACAAATCCCATCACTGGGATAATCATAATTAATGCCAAATTATGGAATGGTTTCAGTTGGGAGGGGCCTTAAAGTCCATTTAATCCACTACCCCAAGTTGCTCCAGGCATCATCCAGCCTGGCCTTGGACACTTCCACAGATGGGGAGTCCAAAACCTCTGAGCAAATAAATAAATAATATATTAATTGAAGAAAGTTAAATGAACTTGTAAGAAAAAGCTGAAACATCACCTGGTCTCTATAGGAGAACTTCAGTATATAAATATATTAATTGATTTATTTTCATTTTTCAATTAAAATCCATATAGGATTTTAATAGAAAAAAAAATCAGATTGAGTTTGGTTCAAACAATTTGCTCAAATTGGTAACTGAAACCATTATGAATTACACACCACTGAGGAAATCATAGTAATTTACACACAGATTATAAATTAATCATAACTTACACACCACTGATTCCACTGAGGAATCCCCACCTGAGGCTTTCTCGACTGGCAGAATAAAAAGGAATTTGTAATTCAGGTTCCTTATAAATAGTTGGTCAAGGAGGACATTTCTAAGTCCTGCACGTGGTAATAAATGTGCCACGAATGTGGAGAAGTTGTTTGCCATTCTAATGGTTCTGTTCTTCTCTTGCTCAGGGTCACTGCAGTGACTTGTTGATATTTCAGACTCAGCCTTATTCCCTGCTCAGGTGAGTTGGAGTTACAGAATCCCAGAATGGTTCAGGCTGGGCTTAATTCCCATCGTGTTCCATGGGCACCTCCCACTGCCCCAGCTGGTGTTTTAGCCACCTGCTCCTGCAGAAATTGGGTGAAATATCCAATTTCCTCCTCAGGAAATACCTGAACCCTTCTGTGTGTGATGCTGCACAGCAGTTGAATCACTGGTGCTGAGTAATTCCCTGCACCTGTAATTAACACCTGTAATTAAGGCACATCCGCTTTTTCTAGGGGTAATTTGTTAGAAAATAAACCATTTACTTCAATTTTTCTTTTTTCCTATTTCCCTTCCTCAGGCTGTGTCTTGACTGCATTGGGAAGAACTCATCTCTCTTGGAGAAGCAAATTCCCTGCTTGCCATCCAAACTTCTGCAGGAAGTGCTGAAAAAAATCACTTTTTGGGCTGCCATGACCCACAGGCAGGAGAGGAAAGCTGAGACTGAGAGACAAAGCCAGCTGCACTCCACATGAGGCAGGGCAGGGAGCTGCTGGGACACCTCACAGGGCTCTGTGCTGTTCCCCTGCAGCTCTGGGCTCTCCTGGGTTTCTGAGGGAAGTTTGACAACAAATCCTTTTTATGGGAATCTCTGGTTTCCTGCGTTACGGAAAAGTGATCCAGCTTCATTTCTAGATAATTGTTCACCTCTGCTCTCGTGGTTTTGGCCACGCAGCCCTCACAACCTTTTGTCCTTTTGGAAGGGGACACGATCCATTTCAGCTGGATAAAATATGGTTTGAGTTTAAAAATCCTCCTTGGCCTTACCCCCATCAGCCTTCCCAAAAAGATAAATTCACCTCGGTGTCTTGGGGACATTCACACTTGGTCAGTCTTAAAGGTAACAAATTTACCACCACCAAATGTTGGTTCCACCAGGCTCTCACCAAAATCCAACCCTGGAGCCTCACACCTCACACTCCCAAGTAGGAAAATCCATCAGGGAATTGTGGAACTTGGAAGAAAAAGCTGCACCATCACCTGGTCTCTATAGGAATACTTCAGTTCATCACCTGGTTTTACTGTTTCTGTCATCAGGAAGTCCTTTTGGAAATAAGTTGTATATTGTATTTTGGATGTGCAAAGTTTATATTTCATTCTTGTTTAAAAAAAAAAACCAACAAAAACAAAGTTGTTTATTTATTGTTTAAAAAAGAAAACAAATGTAGTACTGGTTATTTTTCTGTTTCAAATATTTACTTAACAGGAGCACAGTCATTAAAATTTTATAGAGAGTTGAAGCAAGAGGCATTTGGACACATTTTTGATGGTTTTAAAGTCTGTAAAAATTAATTATTTGGGGGAAAGAGCTTTAGAGGGAGCAAATCTGTTTCAAAAAGGAAGTTTTGTTACTGGTTATTTTAACAGCCTCATTTCATGTGCTGAACTCCCTCCTGTCTATTTTTGGGAGGGGGAGTTCAGATGCCCCCCTGAACCCCAAGGTTTGATTTGGGAGGCTCAGGGTGCCCCCCAGGGTCTGATTTTGGGGGTTTGGGATTGACTTGGTGCATTCAGCTGCCTCAAGGTTAATTTGCAGGGGCTCAGGTGCCCCCCAGGGTTCATTTTGTTGGCTTCAAGTGCCCCCAAGGTTAATTTTGGGAGGGCTGAGGTGCCCCCGTGGTTAATTTGGGGGGTTTCAGATGCCCCCAGTGTGAATTTACAAGGTTCAAGTGCCCCTGAGGTTAATTTTGGGGTGGTTCTGATGCCCCAAGGTAAAATTTTGTGGTTGTTCAGGTGCCCTCGTGGTTAATTTGGGGAGGTTCAGGTGCCCCCTGTGTGAATTTGGGGGCTCCAGCTGCCCTCAGGGTTACTTTTGCTCCCAGTGTTGATTTTGGGAGGTTCAGATGTCTGCAGTGTAATTTTGGGGTGGTTCAAGTGTCCTGATGTTAATTTTGGGGTTATTCAGGTGCCCCCAGTGTTAATTTGGGGTAGTTCAGGAGCCCCCAGGGTCAATCTTGGGGTGGTTCTGGTGCCCTCAGGGTGATTTTTGGGGTGGTTCAGGTGCCCTCAGGGTGACTTTTGGGGTGGTTCAGGTGCCACCAGGGCGAATTTAGGGAGGCCCGGGTGCCCCAGTGTTAATTTTGGGCTTGTTCAGATGCCCCCAGTGTTAATTTTGTGGTCGTTCAGGTGCCCCCAAGGTGATTTTTGGGGTGTCCCAGTGTTAACTGGGTGGCTCAGGTGCCCTCAGGGTGAATTGTGGGGCAGTTCAGATGCTCCCAGTGTTAATTTTGGGGCGGTTCAGGTGCCCTCAGAGTGATTTTTGGGGCGGTTCGGGTGCCCTCAGGGTGAATTTTGGCATGCCCAGGTGCTCCAGTGGTAATTTTGGGGTGGTTCAGACACTCCCAGTGTTAACTTCGGGGTGCCCGGATGTCCCCGGGGTGAATTTGGGGTGGTTCGGGTGCTCCCTGTGTTAATTCTGGGGCGGTTCGGGTGCCCTCAGGGTGAATTTGGGATGGTTCAGATGCTCCCTGTGCTAATTTTGGAGCGGTTCAGACGCTCCCAGGGTTAATTTTAGGGAGCCCGGGTGCCCTCGGGGTGGTTCAGGTGCTCCCAGGGTTAATTTTGGAGCGGTTCAGATGCTCCCAGGGTTAATTTTGGGGGTGCCCGGGTGCCCCCGGGGTGAATTTGGGGGTGCCGGTGCCCTCAGGGTGAATTCTGGGATAGTTCAGACGCTCCCAGGGTTAATTTTGGGGTGGTTCAGACGCTCCTAGGGTTAATTTTGGGGTGGTTCGGGTGCCCTCAGGGTGATTTTTTTGGGGTGATTCAGGTGCCCTCAGGGTGAATTCGGGGATAGTTCAGATGCTCTCGGGGTTAATTTCGGGGCGGTTCAGACGCTCCCGGTGTTAATTCTGGGGCGGTTCGGGTCCCCTCAGGGTGATTTTCGGCGTGCCCGGGTGCTCCAGTGATAATTTTGGGAGCCCTTCAGACTCTCGCAGTGTCAATTTTGGAGCTGCCCGGTGCCCCGGGGTGGATTTTGGGGGCAGTTCAGACTCCCTCAGTGTTAACCCCGGGCTGCCCGGTGCCCCGGGGTGAATTTTGGGGGCAGTTCAGACTCCCTCAGTGTTAACCCCGGGCTGCCCGGTGCCCCGGGGTGGATTTTGGGGGCAGTTCAGACTCTCTCAGTGTTAACTCCGGGCTGCCCGGTGCCCCGGGGTGGATTTTGGGGGCAGTTCAGACTCCCTCAGTGTTAACCCCGGGCTGCCCGGTGCCCCGGGGTGGTTTTTGGGGGCAGTTCAGACTCCCTCAGTGTTAACCCCGGGCTGCCCGGTGCCCCGGGGTGGATTTTGGGGGCAGTTCAGACTCTCTCAGTGTTAACTCCGGGCTGCCCGGTGCCCCGGGGTGAATTTTGGGGGCAGTTCAGACTCCCTCAGTGTTAACCCCGGGCTGCCCGGTGCCCCGGGGTGAATTTTGGGGGCAGTTCAGACTCCCTCAGTGTTAACCCCGGGCTGCCCGGTGCCCCGGGGTGGATTTTGGGGGCAGTTCAGACTCTCTCAGTGTTAACTCCGGGCTGCCCGGTGCCCCGGGGTGGATTTTGGGGGCAGTTCAGACTCCCTCAGTGTTAACCCCGGGCTGCCCGGTGCCCCGGGCGCGTTCGCGGAGCCGGAGCCTGCGCGCTGCCGCCGGAAGGTGCCGCCCGCCCGGCGGATGTTGCGGCGCGGCCGCGGCTGAGGGAAGGAGCGAGGGCCGGCGGAGCGGCAGCGCCGGGGCCGCGGTAGGAGCGGGACGGGGCCGGGGGGCTCTGAGGGACGCGGGGCCGGCTCGGGCCGGGCCGGTAACGGCGGCGGGCAGCGCTCGGGCGGCCGCCATGTCGCGACAGTTGAGCGTGTCGTGAGGAGCCCGCCGGGCCCGCCCTGCGCTCGGGCATGTCGCGACAGGAGAAGGGGTCGTGAGGAGCCCCCGGCTGCGGTGCGTGAGGGGCGTGGGCAGAGCCGCAGGGCTGCGGGGAGCTGAGGGGGAAATGGCTGAAGGGACACGGCCCGGCGTGTCTGAGGGGTAAAATGAATTACAGAGTGTTGTGCGTATCTATTCTCGATAAATATTGTATCGCTGTTGTTGCTCCGAGGCGGTGAAGACGCCGCTAGCTCGAAGCAGGCCTGTTTCACTGTGGGGCTGTGGGCAAGGCTTGCTAATCTAAATTAGAAATCGTAATTAAAACTCAGAGATAACCCCCCGGAGGTGGTGCAGCGTCTCCGTGGCGGGACTGATTAAAATTAAACAGCAAAAACCCCTCAGGAGCGGTGTGTGGCAACAGCAGAGTATCCAGCCTGGATGCAGGGTGTGCTTGTCCCTCTGAGCTCCTTTTCCCTGGATTTGGGCGCACAAATTCGGGCTGCTGGGCTGTGTTTTCCCAGCGCAGTCTGGGGTTTGGCGTTCTGCACGGCTTTGGAGCAGGGACACTGGCTCTGTGGGAGTTTGTGTGGGATGGGGACATTGTCCTGCACTGAGCCGCTGTGGGAGGTTTGTGTGGGGGACACTGAAGAGCTCCAGGATTTGCTGCTATTGTGGGCAAAGCTGTCAAATTTATTCCCCTTTGGATTGTTTTTTTGGGTTTTTTTTTGGCATCGTGGGGTTTTTTTGACATGGTGTGGGTTGGAAGGGACCTTAATGCTCATCTTGTCCATGGGCAGGGACACCTTCCACTATCCCAGGCTGCTCCAGCCTGGCCTTGGACGCTTCAGGGATCCAGGGGCAGCCACAGCTGCTCTGGGCAAATCAATCTAAGTATTTACAGATCAGATTTTAAATATATTTAAAAAGGGACACTTTGGGGCACATTGGCAGCTGTAACCATTACACTGAGGAGTCCCTGCCTGGAACATTTTTGACTCCAGCCGCGTGTAGTTCATCCTGGCTTTTCCAAGCCCCACACTGCGTCAGGGGAGGATCAGGATACCCGGGAAAGGCTCCACTATTCCAGAGGGTGCTTGGCACTGCCCAGGCTCCCCAGGGAATGGGCACAGCCCCGAGGCTGCCAGAGCTCCAGGAGCTGCCAGGGATGCGCAGGGTGGGATTGCTGGCGGTCTGGGCAGGGACGGGCTGATCCCGCTGAGGGAATTCCGCGTCCCTGCGCCCGCAGCACGTCCCGAGATGGCCGATGAGAACGAGGAGCTGCCGGCGGACGAGGAGCTGCCGGCGCCGGCCGAGGAGAACTTTGAGCAGCTGGAGAACGACAGCCCCGCGGAGCGCAGCGGGCACGTGGCCGTCACCGACGGGCGCTGCATGTACGTCTGGGGAGGATACAAGGTACAGCTGCCCCTCTCCCGCCTGGGAACCGTCCCGTCCATCCGCCCGGGCGTGACTCTGCCCAGTTATTCCTCCCCCGCAACGCGGCGGCTCCAGCCAGCAATTTGTAACGCGGCCCCCCGGGGGTGTTTTGCAACGTTGGGATAAATCGCGGGTGTTAGGGCTTGGCAGATGCACGGATTTTTGGGGTGTCGTTTGCCTGTGGGAAAAGGTGAAGGGAGTATTGTCCGATGGGAATTGTGCGCCCTGGGAGTGGTGGTTTTATTTGCACAGCTGTATTTTTTGGGTAGTAATTTGTAATTCCATTTTGTAATTTGTCATTTTGGGTGGTAATGGTTTTTTGGGGTGGTAAGGATCCCAGGTTTGTTGTTGTCACACAGGGGGGTGCGTGTGCTGCAGCACCACAAAATCATTTCAGTGACCGAGTCATTGTCACTGAAACTGACACCGAAACTCTGCAGTTTCACTGAAAGTGAACTCAGTAGATAAACTCCTGTCATGGAGGGTGTGGGGGAATGAAAAAGGAGCTTTTGGCTCATTTCTGCTCCCTGGCTCAGGCTGTAAAACAGAGGTTTAACTTCCATTTAACTTCCATTTACCCTGTCTGGCTCTGCTGGGAGCTGATTGTCCCCAGCAGGTGCTAAATTGGGCTGATTGCTGCTCTCTGTGCAGGTGGGAGGCACAGGAGTGTGGGAAGCACAGGCACTGCTCCTGCTGGGATCAGATCCCAGAGGGGTGCAGACATTCCCAGGAGTCTGTAATTCCATGTGTCAAATATCCTTCTAACCCTGCTTTTCCTTGTCTGACCTGTCCTGCAGAACGCCCAGGTCCGGGGGTTTTATGACTTCTACCTGCCTAGGGATGAGATATGGATCTACAACATGGAAACTGGAAGATGGTACAGTAAATCATTAATTTGGGGGAAAAAAAATTGATAAATCCTTGAACTGGAGTGGAAAGGGACTGAGCAGGGAGAGAATTCCCTGATCTCTTTGTTCCCACCTATCAAAGTCTTGCAAAAGTGTGTCAGATATTTCAGGTTTGGGGTTTTTTTTCCTGTGAAAGCATCCAATATGTTTTTCCAGGATGAAGTAGGAGAGGCAGCTGGGCCAGGCAGCCTGGATAGGAGTGTGTCACCAGCAGTGTGAGGTGTTTTGGGATTCCTGGGATAGGATAGAGCAGCTGGAAATTGTGTTTGTACCACTCTTGATGCCAGTGGTGGTCAGGGAATCCCTGCTGAGTTCTTGGCCTTGTCAGGAGTTGTTTTTCAAGGTTGATGCAGCCACAGAAGCTGCTCAGTGCTTTGCAGGAAGTGGGATTCAGCCCTCCCTGGGGTCAGGAACAGCCTGGGGCACAGGCTGGAATCTCCTCTCTGTGGTTGTGACGTTTACAAACAGGAAAAATCCAGGAGCAAAGTGGAAACCTGCAGTTGACACAGGTGAATCCTCTTAGCCTCAGGATTCTGAGCATTCCAAACTCCTGAGCTGGGCAGATGGGATTCCTACCCCCAAAAAACCCATGTATTAACTAAACTACCTTTTCCCCACCCCTCCATCGTAGGGATTGTTTTGTGAATTGTTACATCTGAAAAGGTGGGAACTGGGGTAATTAAAACCCTCCAGTGGAGCCCATCCCTGCTCACTGGGAGCAGGTGAAGGATCCCACCCTGGTTTTGCAGGAAGAAGAGCAAGACTGAGGGAGATGTTCCCCCCTCCATGTCTGGCAGCTGTGCCGTGTGTGTGGACAGAGTGGTTTATCTCTTCGGGGGGCACCACGCCCGGGGCAACACCAACAAGGTCAGGAATTCCTTTCCAGTAGAATATAAAAATATCATCCTTTCCCGTGGGGGTTGTGCCCTGGAAGTTTCACAGCACTGCAGGAACACCCCGAGCTGGCATCGGTTCTGTCCTTGTGCAACTCCCCTCAGCAATTGGATTGTGTCCCTGCCTCTGAGTTTGCTGATTTTAAAAGATGGGAGTTGCCAGAGTTGCCTGAAAAATATCAGGAACTGGTCTGGTGGTGGCTTGAAGTGTTTCTGTTCCCTGGAGTCTGTGGTAATCCCAGAATCCCAAAATCATTGAGGTTGGAAAAGCCCTCCAAGATCGCTGACCGATCACCACCCCTTCAACTGGAATTAATTAATGATCTTTTCTGATAGTTTGGCACTGTGGCTTAAATTAAATAGTTTTGGTCTATATAAATATGTAGTTTATCCATTTAAATATAAGATCATATATTTCTTTTGTAAATATAAGCTGGAAGGAGTTGGAAAGAGTTTTTGCAGACAGTTTGAAACAAACCTCATTTGTAAGGTGTGATTTCTTCCCTTCCTGCTGTGGCATTCTCACATTTCAGTCTTGTATGTGAGTGTAGCAGCTGATTCTCTTCCTGTACAATTATGTAAATGCAGAGAAGGGGTAATACTGTAAAAATTGTCACTTTGTAAACTTCTGAACCATTTTGTAGCTGTAAGATGATTGTGCTCTCTACACACCTTCACTGTATCCCACAACAGCTTTTGGATGCTGAAGCTCAGTGCCCAGAACCCTGTTAGTGGTGTAAAAGGTGTTTGAGTCTGCAAAAAGGTCAGAACTTTTTGATTTGTGAATCCACCTTTTGCTGCAAATATTTTCAGTGCTCTACTTCTCAGCTAGGAAAAGAACTTTCCATTTATTACTATTTCTGTACCAACACATGTTAATTTAAAGGTGCTGTTTTAACAGCAGATTTAAGCTTTAAGCTGACCGTGTCAGTTTAAAAAAATCTCTTTGTTTTCCCAGTTCTACATGCTAAATGCCAGATCCACGGACAAGGTGCTGCAGTGGGTGAGAGTGGAGTGCCAGGGGGTGCCCCCCTCGTCCAAGGACAAGCTGGGGGTGTGGGTGCACAAGAACAGGTGAGGCCCCAGCGAGGGCTCTGCTCTCTCTGGGCTTCTCCCTCCTCCTCCTCCTCCCTGCAGTTGCCCTGGGGCTGGCTGGGAATGTTCCCCTGGAGAGGAGAAGGCTCCAGGGAGAGCTCAGAGCCCCTGGCAGGGCCTGGAGGGGCTCCAGGAGAGCTGGAGAGGGACTGGGGACAAGGCATGGAGGGACAGGACACAGGGAATGGCTCCCACTGCCAGAGGGCAGGGATGGATGGGAGATTGGGAATGGGAATTGCTGGCTGGGCTGGAATTGCCAGAGCAGCTGTGGCTGCCCCTGGATCCCTGGCAGTGCCCAAGGCCAGGATGGACACTGGGACACCCTGGGACAGTGGGAGGTGTCCCTGCCATGGCAGGGGTGACACTGGGTGGCGTTTAAGGTCCCTTCCACCCAAACCAGTCTGTGATTTTGGAGTTTAGTTCTGTGATTTTGGAGTTTAGCTCTTGTGCTGCCTTGGCCACTCCATGGAGAGAGCTCCCAGTTAGGAGATTTGCTGTGGGATTTGCTGCAGAGACTCAGGAAAGGTGGGGAGTCCCTCGTGTGTCCCTTCCAGCTGGGGATGCTCCGTGGCTCTGTGGAATTGCCCTCAGTGCTGCTTTTTCAGCTCCTTGATGTGGGGAGTGAGCTCCTCATTAGCACACCTGATAGCATCAGCTTAGATGTGAATCTCTGCAGGGCTGCACTTGTGGGTGGTTAATTAGGTGCTGCAGGTTGTTTTCTGTCACTCCATAATCCTGTAGGAATTCCTGGCAAGGCCGTGCCAGTTCCTAACACAGGCTAAACCCCAAAAGTAAAACTTGGAGGTAATTGCCATTTAAACTGCAGGAGAACAACGTGGCAAAGGCCACAGAACGCTGTGCAGTGACCAGGCTGCACACCCTGACAGCTTCAGAGGTCTGGAAGTGGAGCAGAGCTTGGGAGCCTGGGGCTGGAAACAGCTCCAGAGGGATCCAGCGTGGGTGGGAGGGTCAGTGGGGCCACAAACAGAGCCCTCACCTGGAAAACCAAGGAGCTTCCCTGGTTTTCTGAGCACTTTATATTCTATATTTATACTGACAGATGTGACAGAATTTCTCACAGCTCGTGCTCCATGTCTTCCTCCAGGCTGATATTTTTTGGAGGCTATGGCTATTTTCCTGAAGGGAAGCAACGTGGAACGTTTGAATTCGATGAAACTTCTTTTTGGGTAGGTAACCCTGGAAGCCATTTCTGGTTCAACTTTCAGTATTTCATCAGTGCTTGGTAAAACTTGTTGCTTCTTTATGTTGGTTTGTTTTTTGTTTTTTTTTTTTAAGAATTCAGGTCTTCCTAGGGGGTGGAACGACCACGTTCACATTCTGGACCTTGAAACTTTCACTTGGAGCCAGCCCATAACTACGGTAATTAATGCTTTGCTGTCAGTTAATTAAGTCACAGCTCAGTGATGTTATTTAGGAGTGTTCTTGGAGCCATTTCCACTGAATTTAAACCATTCATTTAGACAGATCTACTCTGCAAAAAGAGGAAATTTGCCTTTTCTTCAGATCTCTTTTCATGCATTTTTTCCTGTCGCTTGCTTTGGTTGATGCTGCAGCTGCGTTGTGCTCAGGGCAGCGGGGTTTGCTGTCACCCTCAGTGCCAGGGGATGGTTGGTTCCTGTCCCTGGGGGCTGAATTGTGGTCGGGAGGCAATTAAACACTAAATTAAACACTTTGCTAATTGCAAATAGACGCATTTGGAGTGTTCGGGAACAGGGAAACGGGCTGGTGTTGCCACAGGGTTGGGAAGTGAAGTGTGAGACGAGGAGCTCCAGATTGCCAAAGAATTGCTCTGATTGCTTCATACAGGCCTCAGGTGGTTCAGAAACTCAAGAAAAATGGTGTTTAATGGAATCCCAGAATGGTTTGGGTGAAGGGACCTTAAAACTCATCCAGCCCCACCCCTACCGTGGGCAGGAACGCCTTCCATTAGCCCAGGCTGCTCCAAACTGTCCATTCTGGCCTTGGGCACTTGATGATTTATGAATTTAAGGATTTATTATCTCACTGTCTCATTTACAGTCTGTCTTCTGTGGCTGAACCCTGTGCTAAAAGCAAAATTTATACAAAATTTATACAGGGAGTTCTCTGATCTTCCATCCATCCATCCAAAAACTGCACACAGGATGATTTACTGGCTGTGTTTTTTCACTCTGATCCCTGCTGGCCTTAAAGCTTGAGCTGAGCCTCTCCTGTCCTCTGGTGACTGATTTGTGCTGTCCCTGTCCCCCCCCAGGGGAAGACCCCGTCCCCTCGAGCCGCCCACGCCTGCGCCACGGTTGGGAACAGGGGCTACGTGTTTGGAGGCAGATACAGGGTAAGCCCAGCCTGCTTCAGCTCTGCTCAGCCCAGACCTCAGCAGGAATCTGAGCCACGCTCTGCTCTCTTGCAGGAGTCCAGAATGAACGACTTCTACTACCTGAACCTGGACACGTGGGAGTGGAACGAAATGTGGGTGCTCAGACTGGATCCGTGTGAAATTCTCGGTGTCTAAAGAAATTCAGATTGCCCTTGGGTCACTGCAGTATCCTGTAGATAATAATCCCAGGAATAATAATATCCTGAAAAATAATCGGGGCAGGAAAGAGAGAGGGGTTTTGCTGTCCCTGATGGTGATTTGGGGTGTTTTTATTGCAATCCAGACTCACCCAAGGCATCTGCCCCGTGGGCCGCTCGTGGCATTCCTTAACGCCCATTTCCTCGGATCACCTCTTCCTCTTTGGAGGCTTCACCACGGACAAGCAGCCCCTGAGTAAGTCATTCCAAAGGGATTTGGTGGTGGCTCTGTGCTCTGGAGCAGCTGGGATGATTGCCTTGAATTCCTAAATTCCTCCTGTGTGCTCCAACTCCTCATTCCGCAGAGCAGGAGCTGCTGAGGGTGTGGAGACACCAGAACTCCCAGCAACTGATCTGCTCCAAAAATGGCTCTAAAAGTGCAAATTGCAATTGGTGGCAGCTTTACAATTCTCCACCTTCACCCCCATAAATCTCTGTTGCATTAAACACCTGTTGTCAAACAGGAGCCAGTGTTTTACAAGGTTTTTCCTAAAACATTTGATTTGTGTAAAAACAGAAACGGGATGTGCTACACCAGAGTATTTGTATATTGCAGCAGCTTCCAGAACTGACAGAATCCTGCTTTTATCTGGGAATTTGCTTGTTTTCAGGTGATGCCTGGATTTATTGTATCAGCAAGAACGAGTGGGTACAGTTTGAGCATAACTACTCTGAAAAACCAAGGTATGGCAGACATTTCCCTGGAAATTGGGTACAGAAGGGATGTGGAAGCACCTGGTGGTGGCTGTCAGAGAGAGGACCCTGGTTCCTCCTCACAGCTCTGTGTCCCAGAGGTGCAGGTTGTTGTGTGCTCCCAGAATTCCAGGTCAGGGCCACACAGGGCAGGCAGCCTGTGAAACAGCAGGAAGCAGAGGATTTAGGGTTTGATCTCAGGATTTAGGGTTTGATCCTGGGATTTGGGGCTTGATCTGGCTGCAGAGTGCCAGCAGCAGAGCTGACTGGAGCCAGATCCTTGCTCTGGCACCACCCAGGCACGGGCTGGTGTCACCAGGGTCCTGCCAGGGGCTCATCCTGTGCACAGCCAGGGCTGTCCTTGGCTTCCTGCTGAGGAAATAGGAGTTGCTGACCTGCCTTTTAAATCTGTGATGCACCAGTGTGGCGTGGGAAACACGAGCCTTCCTCCCTCTGGTCAGGGAAGTGACCTGAGCCAGGCTGAGGAGTTGAAGCACTGCTGCTTCCTGGTTTTCTCCCTTTGGCCTGGCTGGGATGAGGAGGGATCTTCCCAGAGCTGGGCTTTGGGTTAATGCAGTGCTGCTCTCTGTTCCCAGGCTGTGGCACACGGCCTGTGCCAGCGAGGAGGGCGAGGTGATCATCTTTGGGGGCTGTGCCAACAACCTTCTGGCCCATTCCAAAGCTGTGAGTTGGTTTTGAGCTTCCCTTTCCCGTGGGATCTGGAGCGCTGCTCTCACGGGGATGCATGGACAGAGCCTGAGGGGGAAATGCTTTGCTCCTGTCCAAAGTCCCTCAGTGCAGATGCCTCAGGGCTGGGAAACCTGAAGGCTTGCTGCAGTGTCCCTGCCCAGGGCAGGCTGGAATAGGATGAGCTTTAAGCTCCTTCCAACCCAGCCATTCTGGGATTCCCTGGTTGTGTGGGCCTGGGCTGCTCTGGCTCCTGCTGAGAGCCCACAGAACCAATTCTCTCTCTGTCTCTGCCACCCTCCAGGCTCACAGTAACGAAATCCTGGTGTTCTCCCTCCAGCCAAGATCTCTTGTAAGGTAAGAGAGCAAGACTTCAGCAGGGAAGTGTCGTGTCCCAGCTTAGCTGGCAGGAGGAAATTCCTGGGAGGGTGGCTGCCCCTGGATCCCTGGAAGTGTTCAAGGCCAGGTCGGACAGGCCTTGGAGCACTCTGGGATGGTGGAAGGTGTCCGTGCCCATGGAAAAAGGGTGGAATGGGATGGGATTTAAGTCCTTGCAACCCAAACCATTCTGGGATTCTAGGACAAGTGGTTGCGAGTCACCATTAGACCTGTTCCTGTTCCTAAAATACTGGCAAGCATTTCTGCCTGTACCAAACCCCAGCAGAGCAGCAGCCGGGGCTGGGGATGGAGGATTCCCCTCGCCTCTGGCCCGAGCTCCCAGCGCAGCCCCCCCTGCTGACGGCAGCCCCGTGTTGCAGGCTGTGCCTGGAGGCCGTGATCTGCTTCAAGGAGATGCTGGCCGGCTCGTGGCACTGCCTGCCCAAGCACCTGCTGCACAGCGTGACCCAGCGCTTCGGCAGCAACAACACCTCGGGCTCCTGAGCCCGGGCCCGCGTGTCAGCCCTCTGCGTCTAGGTAGTTGCTTCTCGCCCTCCCGTGCATGTCAATGGCCTAGAGAGAACCTATTTCTGTGTGAGACGTTCCAATAAATGTGTTTGATGCCAGAGGAGCCCGAGCTTCAGCTGTAACCAGGTGTGGGGTTGTGCACCCCGAGGGGGTGAGGCCGACCCCGAGGGCGGGGGGGATGTCCGTGGGGACAGAGCTGGGAATGCTGAGCGCGCCGCGGCTCTGGAGTGTTGCTTTAGTGGTGTTTAGTGCACAGCTTCACGTTCTGCCACAGATGCTTAAGGTCAGAGAAGCAGGATCTGGAAGTTAGAAGCAGGATCTGGAGTTAGAAGCAGGATCTGGAAGTTGTCCCGTTGTTGGTCGATAAACTGTCGTAAACCTTGAGATGTTAAAGCACCACTACTTTCTGCTTGGCTGTAGTTTGGTTTTGGTTTTTTTTTTTGGAATTTTTATGTTGTGGAACTTCAATTGTGAACCTTAGGTAGCAGATATTCTGCCCTGCGAGTGTAACTGGGAGTTTGTGCCTGTTCCCTGCCCCTGGAGCAGCCCCAGGGATGTCCCCTGGCTGCAGGGACATGGAGAGGGGACACGGGGGACAGGGCCAGGCCGTGCTGCTGTGGGGAAGGGGGGAATCATGTTTTAAGCTGTCTTCAAAAACTAATTAAAAATGTTGACTTGTAGAACAATTCCTGTGCTGTAATTCCTGAGATCCTGGGGGTTTATCCTGACTCCCAGCCCTGCTCTTCCTCCCCTCCACAGGGTTCTGGCACAGCTGGGCTGGGGGGGTCTGGGCCTGCACCTTCCTCTCTCCACAGCCAGGGGATGTTTGGGGGGAAACACGATTCCACCTTCCCAAAGGAAGCATTCTCCACTGGCACTGCCCTCCTGGAGGCTGTGGGATTGAACACCCCAGAGTTTTCCTGCCCCAAATTCCAGAGCCTTGGCCCAGCAGTGGGGAACGAGTGCTCGAAGACAGAAGCAGCAGCAGGGGAGGACATTCCTGACCAAATGCCAGCAATTTAATTCCATATTTATCTGCAATTTGTATCAGAGTCCAGCTAAACCAGCAGGAATACAGGCCCTGGCTGCTGGAATTCAGTCCTGGTTGTGGGTCTGGGTCCGGTCTGGGGCCAGAGCCCCCAGCATGGAATCACTTCCTCTTCATGTTCTGGAGGTGAGGTGCAGACACTTTCACCTTCCCAGGAATATTTCTCGACAGATCTGTGTCCTAGGGAACATGGGAGAGGAGAAGGTGAGCACAGCAGGAAAGCCTTGCTGGAGCACCGGGATGATCCTTGCCTTGGCCCTGGTGAGGACATCTCCACCCTCAACTCCCAGTGCAAGCTCCTGCCCCTGCTCCAGGAATTCCCACACCCAGAGGGTTTCCTGGAGATGCCACTGCTAAAAAAACCCAGCAGCACGCTCAGTTTTGGCAGCATTTCCTCCCAAAATGGCGCCTGTGGCCATTCTGCTGTGCTTTGCAGAGGAGACTCTGCAGAGCCAGCCTCACCTTCACGCTGCGGAACAGGTCCTTCTCTCGTGCACTGGCTTCTTTGGACTGCATGAAATTGTGCAAGGCAATCTTGGCAGCTGGAAAAACACAGGGAAGAGTGAAACAGCTGGAAACCCACGCTGCCTTCAGCAGGCAGAGCTCAGGAGGGGAGTCAGGCTCTCACACCATACCTTTGCCCTTCTTCTGCGTGCCCGGGGTGAGCTTGACTTTGTACCTGCCCAAGGAAAGGGATAAAGGTATGAAGTCAGAGACACACACTCACCACGTGCCCTCCCAGGAAGGTGCTGCACTCACTTGTAGTTGGCCATGGCTGTGTAGGGAGCACAGATGGGGACAGCAAAGAGCAGGATGTCCTCGGGGTGGGGCTGCCCCGTCAGGGAGTCCAGCAGGGCCTCGCTCTCCTGGGACACAAAGAGCTCCACTGGGACCTGGCCCCGTGCTCAGCCCTGCCTGGAGTCACGGGGCAGGAGCTGGCAACGGGCAGCCCTGAAGGGCCCTTCCAAGCAGAGCATTCCATGGCTCCATGAGCATGGAACTGGCATGGAATGCCCAAGCCAGGATTTGTGACTGATCTGTTTCATCACTAAAATCACATCCTTGGCTGGATCTTGGTTTTGGGCCAAGGGTCACCCAAAGCTTCCCTGGCAGACACCGTTACCCTCCTCCATGGAGGAACTTAAAGGAATTCACTTATTCCCAGCCCTGGGCAACACCCACAGCCTGTAATTACACAAAAGTAATTACAGAAAAGTTTTCCATTTTACATGTAAACAAACTTCTGAAGTAAAGAACCTGCACTACTCACTGTGTCATCCTCCAGCCCAGAGCCACCAAGGCAAAACCAAGGGCAAACATCCTTGGAGCCAGCTCTGGGTTTATGGGGATGTGGAGATGAGCAGGGCAGGCAGAAAAGGTTAATTTTTAAAATACAATTACGGTGGGTTCAAACAGTCCTGGAGGGCTCCCACATGTCCCAGTCCCAGCAGGAGCACAGCCCCACCTCAGCCCTTACAGAACTGAGCATTTACCTCCAGTCCTGGCTGCTCCTGGTCCTGCTCCTCCTGCACACACAAACAAGGACACATCAGAAACCAGAGCTGCTTCTGCCTCCCCTGTCCCCAGGAAATTCTTTAATCAGCAGGCCCAGAAATCCCCATTCTCCCTGCAAAGAGACCTGAGCTCCTTGCACAAGCACGGTGAGAGCAGCCCTCTGCCGTGGGTGGGAGGGTGGAGTGTTTCTTTCCAACCTCTAATTTGCCTGGCACACGCCGAGCTGGGAGGAGGAGATGGAGGTCGGAGATAGCAAATCCCAGCGCCAGGGCTGGGAGCTCCTCCCACCTGCCTGAGGGGGAGCTGCTGGGGGAACGGGAGCCCGGGACCGCTCCGAGCCCAGTCCTGGCTGTGCTGGGAAAGGATGAGCACAGGGATTGCTGCAGGGCTTTGGGCTGCCCTGGCATCCAGTGGGCTCCCTGAGCACTGGCAGCAAACACAGAGCTCTCCACAGTGCCCAAAATCCAAGGGGAGCTGCTCAGCCTCCCAGGAGCCACGAAAGCCCCAGCAAGGGACAGACACATGGACAAGGGAGGAGAGAGCTGCTCACCTTCTCACCCTGTTCCTCACCTTGTCCTCCTGCAGCTCATCCAGGGCTGGCTCCTGTGCCTCGTGCAGCACAATTCCTGCTGGGAGGGTCTCCTTGCCCCCTCCTGCTGCACGAACGGGTTTGGGTTTCTGCTGCTGCTTCTTTGCTGCCTCTTCTTTTGTCTTCCCCTTCTTGCCTTTTTTCCCTTTGTCCTCCCTGTTGGAGCCTGCAGACTGTGGTGACACAGGTGGTCAGGGCTGGTGACCAGAGCCACCACACCCCGGGGAAGGGACAACTCCCCCTCACCCCCAGCAGCTTCATGATGAGCTCCCGGTCCTCCTCGTCCTGGTCCCTGTACTTCTCCTTCATCTTCTTCATCTTACTCTGCAGCAGGAAACACCAACAGCTTCAGAAATGACAGCTTTTAGCAGAGTATTGCAAGCACAGATGGCTCTTTCCTTCCCAGTATCCCAAACTTTCAGAGCAGTTCACCAGTAAGCAAGGCACTGGTTCCAGTGAGCTCCGTGCTAACGCCCAGCACCATCACGAGAGACCCCTCAAAGCAGCCATGGATCCCAAACCCTGGGATTGCTCTCCGTGTTTCCATGCCAACAGCTCAGCCCAGGTTCCCCTGGTCCTGCCCACCTTCTGGCCCCGCTTGATGGGCTGGGGGGCTGGAGCTGCCCTGGGGCAGTTGGGAGCAGCCACAGGTTGGGTCTCTGCCTCCTTCTGCTTCTCTTCAGACAGCTCCGAGTTCTCAGAGTTGTTCTGCTGCTTCTTTTTCTTCATTTCTCTAAGGAGAACAGTCACAACACCCTCATTTGTTGTGGTGAGAGAAGCTCCTGCTCTCCTGACAGCATTCCCACCCTGCTTCCCAGCCACAGGGACCCAGAGGAACACTGCAAACAGCCCCTCCTCAGCAAAACCTCTCCATCCCACCAGTAAAACCCTGACAGCATTCCCACCCTGCTTCCCAGCCACAGGGACCCAGAGGAACACTGCAAACAGCCCCTCTCAGAAAAACCTCTCCATCCCACCAGTTCTGTGTTCCCAGCCAGCATTCCCAAAGGACAAGAGCAGCACCTCACCCTGGAAATGCAGGATGGACAATGGGCATGGACTGGGGTGGTTACAGATGTGCCCAGGACATGGGGGCCCAGCCAGCATTCCCAAAGGACAAGAGCAGCACCTCACCCTGGAAATGCAGAATGGACAATGGGGTGGGTACAGATGTGCCCAGGACATGGGGAGGGAATGGGGAAGAAGCATTTGTCCAGAGCAGCTGTGGCTGCCCCTGGATCCCTGGCAGTGCCCAAGGCCAGGCTGGACAGGCCTTGGAGCAGCCTGGGACAGTGGGAGGTGTCCCTGCACATGGCAGGGGTGGAATGGGATGGGATTTAAGGTCCCTTCCAACCCAAACCATCCTGGGATCCCCTGGAACACCCACTGGCTCTCACCTCCTCTCCTTGGCAGAGAGATGCCTCCGGCCCTGGGCCCTGCTGTCGCTCTGAGGAGGGAAAGGCAGCTCAGGGCAGGTCCTGCCCAGCAGCTCCCACTGCCCTGGGCACCCACTGGAGCTGGGACCTTACCAAGCTGGGCTCTTCCTCTTTGGGGATGATTTTCTGCAGGGATCTGTGGGGAGAAGGAAAAGGAGCTCATCAGCAGATGGAGGGCAGCTCACCATGGACACGCCAACCACAGCCCAAATTCAGCAGCCTGGTTCTACCTTTCAGCTTTCCAGAGCTTGGCAATCTCAGCTTTGGTGACTGGAAAAGGCAGGAACACTGGATTCACTTTAGAAAACAATCTCAGCTTTCTGCCAGCTCCTCTCTCACACACACAAGCACCAAACACAGCCTGGGCACCGAGGGAGCCCCAGAGTGCAGCTTCCCATGAGCCTCACCCATCCCTGCTCCTTGCACCCTCTAAGGAGTCCCAGGGACAAGAGGGAGCCGAGCTCATCCCACAGCCTCAGCAGAGCAGAGGCAGCTCAGGGCTCAGTTTCCAGCATTCCCATTGCTGAGCATGGAAGGAAGGGATGGCAATGCATCCCAGCCTTGTCCTGGCAGTGTTTTAGGGGACCCTCAGGTGCCCCCAGCTGCTGCTTCTCTCACCTCTGGGGCTGAAGGTGTGACAGGTCGATTGTGGTGTCTGGATAATTCACCTCTTCCTCCTTCACTTCCCTCTTGGGCTCTGGATGCTCCTCCTCAGAGTCTCCATCCTCCTCCTCCGAGTCAGCCTCTGGAGCAGGAGAGTTCCCTCCTCCCTGCTCAGCACTGCTCTCCTCTCGGGTGCTCTCAGCTGTGGCTTCCACATCCTCTGGAGCTTCCACATCCTCTGGAGCTTCCTCAGCCTCTGGAGCTGCCTCAGCCTCTGGAGCTGCCTCAGCCCCTGGAGCTGCCTCAGCCTCGGCTTTTTCCTCCTCACTGCTGCTGTCTCCTCCATCTGGGGCATGCAGGGCAGGAAAACACAGGAATACCAGGATCCATCATCCCAGGATGGTTTGGGTTGGAAGGGACATTAAAGCCTACCCAGTGCCACCCCTGCCATGGCAGGGACACCTCCCACCATCCCAGGCTGCTCCAAGCCCTGTCCAGCCTGGCCTTGGGCACTGCCAGGGATCCAGGGGCAGCCACAGCTGCTCTGGGCACCCTGTGCCATGGCCTGCCCGCCCTCCCAGCCAGGAATTCCTTCCCAATCTCCCATCCATCCCTGTCCTGTGTCAGTGTGAAACTATTCCCCTTTGTCCCATCAGTGATCCAAACTCTGGGATCACCCAGAGCCTGAGGGACCCCCCAGCAGCCCCAGTGCCCCCCATACCTAAAAGCTCCACCTCCTCAGCCAGCAGCTCACTGGCACTGCTGGAAACCGTGTCCAGCTCCTCCTCCTGGACTCTGACCTTCCTCTCCTCCCGGTGCCTCCAGACACAGCTCTCATCCACCTGAAAACAAGGAGCCTCTGGGTCAGGCCTGGTGATGCTCACACAACACCTCACTCAGCTTTTCCTTCCCTTTTTAACACTTCCTGCCATCAAAAGGCAAGAAAATTAAACCAGACCCAAGTGTGCCAAGCCCACAAGTCAGGGTGACACACAGGAATGTTCAGATTCCAAACAGAGCTGGGGGAACAGCAAAGGCTGTTCTCTTAGAGTCTGTTTGGAATGCAGACAGAGCACACTGGGCTGAGATGGAAATGAAAGCAGAGCCATTATCAGCAAGAAGCTCTTTATGGGATTTTTCCCAGTGGGAAAAGAAGTAATTGGGAATACTCTGATAAGCAAGATGCAGAAAATAAACCTCCTGCAGCTCAAAGCAAATTACAAAAGCCAGCAGGAGCTGCATGGAAAAGCTGTACCTTAAACAAGAAGCTGAAGCCCATCATCAGATAGGAAGGTGGAAGGAAATTCTTTTTCCCTGAAAAACAAAGGGAGAGTCTCATGAGGAGCTTTAGCAGCCATGCTGCAGGATGTACTTCCAAAATTCATTTTTATTAGAGGCTTTAGGCTACCAAAAAATTACACTGGGGCTTTTTTATCTCTGGGATGAGAACAGAAGAGCTCAAAAGCAGCTGAGTTAATGAACTTCTGCCCAGGGCTCAGCTCAAACTGCTGCTGCAGCTGCCTGATACTCAGACTAAGCCATTCCCAACAGACTTCTGGGAGAAGAGTGGGATCTGCTGCCACTGCAGGACAGCCCAGCACCTTTGGGAAAACATCCCATTGCCACTGCTCCCTTGTGCCTCACCTCGGATCATGAAGCTGCCAGTAGTGAGATATTCTCCCGTGGGGGCAGTTTTAGAAACCTAAAAGAAAACCACAATAAACTGTGAAAAATCTCTGTGACAGAAGTCCAACATCAGGTGACAACAGCACCAAGAGAAAAACTGGCTCAACAGGAGCTGAACTCCTGGGAACAGCTCTGCAGGATTCCATATCCAAGGGGCTCTTCCTCTCCTTAGCAGGGAATTTTCCTAAGGGGTGTTTCAATCCAATCACACCCTACCAGCACTGTGTTTTAGGAGTCCTGGGTGAGCAACTCAGGAAATAAACCCAGGATTTACTCAGGAGCATTCAGGGAATAATGCCTTGAGAAGGCTGCTCCAGAACAGAGGCTGGATGGAGTTCCAGAATAAAGCAGGGATTGATTCCAAGGATCTCCTCCATGGATCCACCTGAGCCATGATCCATCCATGAGCACCAGAGCCCAGCCAGGGCTGCCCCCAAGATGAACCCAAATGGTCCCAAAATGCACGAGCGCTCCCGGGGTCTCTCCCTGGGATCAGCTCTGCTCCATGTGCACATTGCAGTTCAGTGTCCAATTCCAGCTCAGCCCCTGCACTCCCATCCTGCTTGTTTTTCTCTCTGCAGCCCACGGGGTTTGTGCTCCTGGGCTGAGATTTGGATCATTTGTCCTTGGTGCCCAGCTGGAGCAGGAATTGTTTTGTCTCCCTGCTCTGTGCACAGAGCTCACCATGCCCTGATGTGGAGCCCAGCCCCACACACTAAAGCAGCTCAGAACCTGAAAATAGAAAAGCTAAACCTGAGGCATCAACAAAACCACCACAACTTTGGTGTGATCTCCAGACCCTCACACAGAAGTTTGATCCACACCCGTGGGCTCCTGTCTGGGGTCACATCCCAGCTCCCTGGGGTGCAGTGCCTGGAGAGCTGCAGCTGATGTGCTCACCTGGCTGTGGGACACCCACCAGGCGCTGGTGACCACGCGGGCGTCCCAGGCAGCGCTGTAGCACAGGGCCATGGTCCCCGCCTCCGTCAGCGTCCGCGGCGGGATGGGCTCACCTGGGAACACCCAGCACACCAGCAGCCATCAAATCCTGCCCTGACCCAGCCTGGGAGCTTCCCAGGAAGGACTGGTACCCATCCCGAGGGAAGGCAATGCCAGTTCCTGTCCTCCACAGGTACCTGAGGGGTTCTTGATGACGCAGCTGGTGGCTCCGTGCAGATCCGCGTGCACGTAGATGTCCCCTGGGAAACAGGAGGCTTCCCTCAGATCCACACATCCCTGGAGCCAGGGAAGTCTCTAATGTCAGATGGAAATGCCTGGTCTGGCTGCAAGGGGCAGGGTGGGGACACAGAAGCCTTTCAGCCCATCCTTGGCCCAGGGAGATTCAGCTCCTCTGCTCCTGAGGGGAGCCCATCCAAGCTGCTCTCGCCCCATGGCACCAGAGGAACTCCCACCACCAAAATTCCCTTTGATCCAAGGCCCAGCTCAAGGACAAAGCAGAGGGACCTTCCCCTGCCACTCCTGGGCACTCACACAAGTGGGAAGGAGGAGGAAACCCCCCATGGCCTCCATGGGCTCACCTGGTTTGAGGTAGCGCTTCACGATCAGCTCGTTCTGCTGCTGGTCCCTGCCAGCAATCACCAGGTAATTCTCAGAGCTGATGAACCACAGGAACTTCTCAAACCTGCCAAATTCCAGCAAATCCCCAGTGTGAGCAACACCTGGAACTAACAGGACATTGCACAGGTGGTTTTTGATAAACTCAAAATATCCATCTTAGCACAGCCCTCCTATTTATTTTTATTTTAATAATTAAAAGCTTTGATGTTTTGTTTCATCTGTTTGGTTTTTAAAGCACAGAAGCCCAGAATGGTTTGGAAGGAACCTTAAAGATGATCCAGTCCCCCTGGGCCACCCCTGCCACTGCCCCAGGCTGCTCCAAGCCACGTCCAGCCTGGCCTTGGACACTTCCAGGGACGTGGCAGCCACAGCTGCTCTGGGCTGCTGTCCCTGGGAACCATTCTGGGATTGTCTGACTCTTTAAGGAGTCTCCATGCAAAGTGCAGTGCTCAGAAATCCTAAAGAGCTCCACTCTGATCCAGGGTAGCTCCATCCTGCCAGGACATGAGAGAAGGACAAGGGAGCTGTACTTGCCAGTAGACCTTTCTGGCCTTCTGGATGGTGGTGACAGTCTGAACTTCCCTCAGGGTTTGCTTTGTCTTCTTCTCAGCTGATTTAAAAGCCTGTTTGGACAGAAAGCACCGTCACCATCCAGCAGGAATCACAGAATTCCCCACTGAACACTGGGAAAGTCGGTAGGAAATGGCTCTGGACTTGATCACAGTGCAGGCTCCAGCCCTGCTCTTAAAACTGCACCCTGGAGAGCTGCTCCCTGAAATGATCAGCTCTTGCACTGGAAGGATTTCCACTCATTTTGCACTCCAAGTCCTGGTCTGTCAGTGTCTCCCCTGCTCTGAGTATTCCCAATGCCACTGGTGGAAAAGGAGGATCCATCAGGGATCTGCAATCCTCCAGTGAGCTCCAAATGTCAAGAATAAAACAACTCTGGGTGATTGCTTTTCCCTTTCATGTTCTGTTAGGGTTGCTCAGACCAGGTCAGCATTTCCCACTGAGCAGTGGCAGGGATTTTCCTTTTAAATATCTTCTAAAATCCAAGGGGGGGAAAAAAATACCTTTTCTGCAGCTTCCACTGTCTTCTGAGTTTTCTTGGCTGCATGTCTTTTGTGATCATAGTACCTGTGAAACACAAGTGTGTGTCCTGAAATCCCAGCAGATCCACTCCCTCATCTTTTCCCACTCATCCCAGGCCTTTTGTTCCATGGGCAGAACTGGAAAACTCAACCAATGTGAGCCACAGAGCAGCTGCCCTGCACCAGGGAATTCCCATCCCAGAGCTCAGGACAGGCTGCTATTTCAATCTTTAACTCTTATTTTTAACAAGATATCCCAAAACCCTTCTTCCTGCAATATTATCACCAACAACTGCACACCCAGAGAAATTTCTCCTACAAAAAACACACATTTACTAAAAAAATCTTACTTTTTGGCATTGGCATAAGCAGACAAATTGAGATCAACATCAATCAATAAGGGTTTGTTTTTCTGAGGTTTCTTCAACTGTTTGGTTTTATTCTTTTTCTTTTTTCCTTTTGGTTCTTCTGTTTCTTCCTTCTCTACGTCAGCATCATCCTCCTCCTCTTCCTCTTCAGATAACACGTAGGGGTTCCTAAAAACACGTGAGATCATAAGACTGAGATAAGAGAACTGGTTAATTTTTAATCCTTGGTGCAATGTGCTCTTAATTTTATTCTCTCAGAAGTTTAGAAATGGCCCAAGGAGCCTCCAAACCCTTCACACTGTGCAGACACAGGAAGCTTCATGTGCCAACCCTTTTTTGTCCTGGAGTCAGCCAAATTTGGGGGGGAAAAATAAAACAAAATCAGAAGATAAAGAGCCCAACTTTTCCAATCCAAGGAACTGACTGAAAGCAAGTTTGTTCTATAAACTGCCATTTCTGAAAGCGAGGTAACCAAAAATTCACAGATGAACTCTGCCACGTCCCAGCTTTTCTACCCAAACTTCTGGCTACAAAAAAAAAGCAATTTTGGGGTATTTTAAAATCCCTAAGCTCCCGATGCAGCACACTCACCTCAGCAGCATGGTGATGTGGTTTGTCTGCAGCTTTAACTCTTTGATTGCCACGGCCACGGGGTCCCCCTGGGCCTGGGCCTCCTTGACGATGGCCCCGATCTCGGTCCAGTCGATCTGGTTGGCCAAGGCGCTGCGGACCACCTGGATGGCCCTGTCCACCACCTCCAGGTTCATCTCTATCAGCTCCCCCTTCAGCTTATCAGCTTCCTTGGGGAAAGGAGGAGCTTGGAGCCAGCGCAGCCAAGCACGTGCTCGGCAGCAGTTGTTGTAAGAATGGAAGCAGCGGTGAAGAAACCCAAGGATGGATTGAAGTGGCGGCACAGGAGAAGATCCAACTCCAGTGCTGCCAATCCCTGGAAGTGCCCCAGGCCAGGCTGGAGCTACATGGGATAGTGGAAGGTGTCCCTGCCCGTGGGATTGAAGCTCCCTCCCAACCAAACCATCCCGTGGTGATGTGGTTATGCACTTTTTAAATTAAAACCCAAAATCTGTCTTACCTGAGCCTGCTGGAGAGCTTCCAGTCTGTGCTCATGGTCCTTACGGACATTTTCAAGTTTCTTCAATGCTTGTTTTTCCTTTTAAATACAAGATGGCAAAAAATTACAAATATTTGATATAAAAATATATTTCTATGTATATATAATCTTGCAGTGATTATCTGATGCCATTACCAAATGGCATCAGGTAATCACTGCAAGAAGCAAGAGAATCCTCTGGAAATGTGGAGCCATCCCAGCTGCCCAGGCTGGATGAGGACACACCTGCTGCAAGGCCTTCAGATCAATCTTCTGCCCCTCCAGCTTGGAGTAGAACTCATCTGTAGCCTGCAGGAGAGAGTCAGGTTGGAGAACCCCCAGGCTGGCCTGACTCAGAGCAGGCACAGGAGGGTCCCTGCAGAGAGGGGGCTGCAAAGCTCTGGAAGAGGTGACAGAGGCTGAGACAACCTCCAGGAGTTTCCCCATTTCCCTTCCCATGGGAGGAGTCCAGGGAGACACTCAGGGCTGAGTCTCACTGCAAACACAGCAGGAAAACAGTGGCCAAGCAATGGCTCATCTTTTTGCTAAGAAATGATGGAAAAGCTGCTTTGGTTCAGATTAAATGGTTGCAAAGGCAGATCTGTCTGCCCTGAACCCCTGCTGCTCCACTGGGTTAGTTAAAAAAACCCAGAGTGCCTAAGAACTGCTCCAGCTGTGCTTAAAGCACAAGATGAGGAAGGCTGTTTAGATCATCAGAGGGACTGGGGACAAGGCATGGAGGGACAGGACACAGGGAATGGCTCCACTGCCAGAGGGCAGGGATGGATGGGAGATTGGGAATTGCTGGCTGGGCTGGTACTGCCAGAGCAGCTGTGGCTGCCCCTGGATCCCTGGCAGTGCCCAAGCCAGGCTGGATGGGGTTTGGAGCAGCCTGGGGCAGTGGGAGGTGTCCCTGCCATGGCAGGGCTGGCTCTGGGTGGGTTCTGAGTCCCTTCCAGCCCAAACCATTCTGGGGTTCTGTGATCACTGAGGGACATGACAGAAATTGAGGCAGGAAGCAGGGCAGGAGCGTGCAGTGGGAATTCTGGAGATCAAGGTCAAGAACAAGAGGCCAATTAACGACTCCAGATGTTAATGAGTCAAGGAGCAGAAAGGACAATGCCCAAGGAAGCCCCAGTAAGAGCCCTGAGGCTTGCAGAGCAAGAACAGGAGAAGTGTAAATGTGATGTCTGCCACAGTTATTAACTCCAGAGACAACTCCAGAACAAAACATCTGGGACTCTCTGACTGGAAGCTTCCACCTCCCTCACAGGTTCCACACTGCAGGATGAGCTCAGCAGCCAGCACTGCCCAGCTGCAGCCCAAACCCCTGCTGGGGTTGGCTTTTTCTCATCAAACATTCATCCACAAAATGATTCATCCCTTCCAAGGTCTCTGCGTTCATTAACAGCCCCTGCACTGTGTTTTAATTACTCTTTTTAGCAGCAGTCAATTCAAGCACCCAAGTACAGCATCAGCAAAAGCACTGTACCTTATTGAATGAGTCAAATTCCAAGTAGGGACATTTTGAATGTTGAGAAAACAAGAAAGGATGAAATTCCTCATATCTGTAAAATACACATTTGATATTATCACCTGAAAAACTAATTTCTGTTATGCAGACTAGTAGAAAAAAAGGGAAAAATACTTCAAATATTTACGTGTAGATATCTTCTGCTGGCTTATCTGGTTCCAGACTTGGCTTTTTCTCCCTTTTCTGGATAACATAACCCTGAAAGAAAACAAAAATATCATTTGTCTGTGGAAAGGTTTAGGTAGCAATAAATAATTCCAGCAGGGAACATTGTGCCTGACCCCAGTGTCTTGTTTTGACTCCAGTTTCTTCTGGAAAAAGAAGTGAACTTCTCCCAGCCCTCAGGACTATCCCATAAATGCAGAGTCTGGGTGCAGGATTTATTACAGAACCTATTAAATCCCAAGTGCAAATCTCCCAGGATTCACACAATCTGCCTGTGCATTATTTAATTGCTGCCCAGCTTGTGGAAAGAAAGCAATTTTTATTCCACATCAGCACCTGGCACCCAGGAATAAAATGCAGAGCTGGGAACAGCAGGAATTGGGAATTCCTGAGGAATTCCTGCTTGCCACCTTAACTCTGCAATTCCAAATCATTGATAAGCCACCCCAGACCCACCTTTCCACTGAAGTTGTCAGTGAGGGCCATGTATTCTTCTGCTTTCTCTAGAGCTGAAAGAACCTTTTCAAGGTTTTCTGAAGAGAAAACAGCAGAAATATTTCATCCCTGCAATTACTGCTCATTTTAAACAGAAGTCTAAGTTTACATCTGGGAAACTTTTAAAATAAAAATTTATTTAGATGATTTTAGCACATAATTATTCAAGTTTCAGGAGGAAAAAAAGACCCCACAATACCAGCACTTTATGAAATTAAAGCATAACCCAGAAGCAGTGAGAAGTTATTTTTTTACTGCACCATAATGCAGTAGGAAGGAAAAAATCCTCTGGATTTATGGCAAATATAAAACACAGGAGGAAAATAAGACTGCAGGAAAATATTTTCTGATTTCATTACCAAAATCTTTAATTTCCCAATAAATGTAAAGCTGCTATGTTACCAAATTCCCAATGTTTGCTACAAATAAAGACTTGGATATTAATTCTTCTTGTCAAACAACCAGAACTCACCTCATGGGAGAGGTGATGTCAGAATAAAATCATTTAGACTACAGAACAATCTGACATTTTATCTCCAATTTATGCACAAATCAACAATTTTAATGCAAACAAGGATGGTCCCCAAGCTAAACACATTAAAAAATAAAACCACACGGTCAGAACCACAGGTTCACTCATCTCCTTGGGAAAAAACCACTGCAGAGACATAAAAATCCCCATATTTGTGGCCCAGCCTTTAAAATATTACACCTTTATTTTCCAGCTGTTGATCTATTTTGACAGCTCCAGAAAATCCAGCTTCTATAAGGCAGTGCTCGATGAGAGTGGCCCCATAAGCTGTTAAAAAAAAGAAATAGTGAAGGATCATCTGTAGAAAATATTCACAGTTTGCATTTAAAAAAAAAAAAACCAAAACCAACAAACTGGACACAAGAGTGTGAGAAGAAAATATTCACAGTTTGCATTAAAACAAACAAACAAACAAACAACAAAACTGACACAAGAGTGTGAGAAGCACCAAAAACCAGGGAAGAGGCAGGAGGGGAGGGTGGGTAAGGAGGAGGGGGTGAGAAAAAGCCAAAATTGCCACAAAGGGAAGAATGGTGAGGATTTTAGAGTGGAGCAGCTGTGCCTGGTAACTGGATCAGTAACACCACGTGAGGCCAAGGCTTCCTACATGACAGGATCAGAAAAAAACCAAATCCCAGCAGGGACACAGCACAACTGGGATCAGAGGGGACAGTAATTAGCAATTATACATCATCATCATCATTATTATTTAGAAATTATTTAAGAGAGCAGGGTAGAGAAAGAGAGAGAAAAGGGTGGTGAAAAAGAGAATGAAGAGATGGGGCAAGTCATGCTCAGGTGTGATTTGAGCTGCTCAGGAAATTCTCTGCTTGAGCAGCTTTGGCAGGTCAGGAGGAAAAGCAATTTTGTTCTGATGACCTCAAACATGACAAAATTGGTTCTGTGCTCAGGAAAACCTGACTTTACACTTACAGCTCCTGGTGGTGCAAAATGCCCCAAGGCAGAGCTGCAGCAGAGCCACAGCTCTGTGCAGAGGCCTTGGAATCACTAAATCCCTGTTTTCCAGGGCAGCCTGGGAGGGTGGAAGGTGCCCCTGCCCAAGGCAGGAGGTGAAATGAGATGGGTTTTAAGGCTCCTTCCAATCCAAAGCACTCCAGGGTTCTGGGATAAGTTATCCAAATTTTCCAGCATGACACAGCACACACTGAGTGACCTCATTCCATCTCCTGACCAAGGCCAACCACTTACGAAGGAGTGGGTTGAGAACCCTCTTCAGCTGCTCCCCTTTGGGTGCATTTGATATGATTTCAGTTAACCTGCAGGAGAAAATAAAAACTTGCAATTCCATCTGTTGTTTTAAAACAACACTGCATTGCTTAGAAGCTACAAAACATTTCCAGCCTTAAAAAAATGAGATTAAAAATGGCCTGTAATAAACTAGCCAAAGATTTTCACAGCTCTGACAATTTGGGTTTGTCCCAATAAATACACCATTTATGAGCTCTGAAATTCATGGGGATTTCTGAAAGAGTTTTGAATGAGTTACAGATGGGATCTCTGAGGTTTTTAGAGGATGCTGTTTATTTTCTTATCTTCTGCACAGGCAGGAAGGATGAGTTCAGCTCACATCTTCACTGCACAGTTCAGAAGGTCACAAGACCCTCAGTTACAAGACTTTTTAAGGATTTATTCCCCAATAAAACACTGCCAACAAGGATATTTATGGTTTTAACCCAACCCTTAAATATTTCATCTTATGGACCCATGCTACAGTGTGAGCTTCCTTAGCCACTCATGTTATGGCACACAGACCCACAGTGCTGCATCCTAAACTCCTTCTTCACCTCTGGAACTACTTTTATTTTTATGTCTTAAACTCTAAAACTCTAAACTTTCCTTTCCTTAGCTCAACATGTCTCTGCTTTAGACTGTAAATCCACATTCTCACTTCTGGCACCTCAGTTTGGGAGCCTTTTCCAAGGGCTCAGATCAATCCTGAGTTTAATTCTCAGCTTTGGCTCACAGGCCCAAAGCTCTGAGAATTCCCTGCATTTCAGATTCCAACAGAAACTGAAACTACCTGTCCAAGGTGGGCAGGGGCACAGCAGCTTTTGCACTGGCCACAAGAAATCACCAACTATGAGCTCTGGGACTGGAATTACCTATCCAGGGTAATTATTCCTGGACAGGAATTACCTGTCCAGGGGCACAGCAGCTTTGGCACTGGCCACAAAAAATCACCAAATATAAGCTCTGGGATTGGGATTACCTGTCCAAGGTGGGCAGGGGCACAGCAGCTTTGGCACTGGCACCAAATATGAGCTTTGGGATTGGAATTACCTGTCCAGGTTAATTATTCCTGAACAGGAATTACCTGTCCAGGGGCACAGCAGCTTTGGCACTGGCACCAATAAATCACCAAATATGAGCTCTGGGATTGGAATTACCTGTCCAAGGTGGGCAGGGGCACAGCAGCTTTGGCACTGGCACCAAATACGAGCTTTGGGATTGGAATTACCTGTCCAAGGTGGGCAGGGGCACAGCAGCTTTGGCACTGGCACAAGTACGAGCTCTGGGATTGGAATTACCTGTCCAGGTTAATTATTCCTGAACAGGAATTACCTGTCCAGGGGCACAGCAGCTTTGGCACTGGGCACCAAATATGAGCTCTGGGATTGGGATTACTTGTCCAAGGTGGGCAGGGGCACAGCAGCTTTGGCACTGGCCACAATAAATTTACTTGTCCAAGGTGGGCAGGGGGAATTACCTGTCCAGGTTAATTATTCCTGAACAGGAATTACCTGTCCAGGGGCACAGCAGCTTTGGCACTGGCACCAAATACGAGCTCTGGGACTGGAATTACCTGTCCAAGGTGGGCAGGGGCACAGCAGCTTTGGCACTCTCCACCGGGTAGCGCTCCCGCACCGCGAACCTGACGTCGTCGGCCTGGTCCGTGCGGCACCTCAGGATGTTGAGGATCAGGTACTCGTGGTCGGTGAGGACGACGTTGCCCTGCGAGCACGGGGACCCTGAGCGGGGCCGGCGCGGCGGCCCTGCCCCGGGGCACGCCGGCAGCGGCGGCTCACCCTGTCGTAGAGCTCCAGGATCAGGTGGTAGGCGGCCCCCTCGCTGCCGAACTGCAGGTCCACGACGCGGTCGGCGCCCAGCTGCCGCACGCTCACCAGCCTCCGCGTCCTCAGGTGCTTCCGGCACTGCGGGGGAGGCCTCAAGCTCGAGCTTGTGTGGTTTTCAAATCGCTGCCGCCGCCTCAGGGGGTGACTCTAAAAGCCAGCTGGCAGCTGCTGCTCCCTCCTGCTTTGTGCAGATGGGACAATCCCTCCTGTTCCCTCCTGTTCCCTCCTGCTTTGTGCAGATGAGACAATTCCTCCTGTTCCCTCCTGTTCCCTCCTGGTTTGTGCAGATGAGACAATCCCTCCTGTTCCCTCCTGTTCCCTCCTGCTTTGTGCAGATGAACAATTCCTCTCTAGGCCTGAAACTCAAGGACGCCTCGCTGGCTCAGGCACCGAAAAATGTAACCAACAGGGAATTAATCAGGGGGGTTTTGTTCACTAATATTGTTCACTTTTTTTGGGTTTTTGTGCTGGTGAATGTTTTGCCTGTGAAATAACTTTTCTCCAAGGAAGTCTTTTTCCTGAGCCAGCTGGGGGAGGAGCCAATTGAATCTGCTTTCTAGAGAAACCTATTGGGAGGTTCTCTCCCAGATTTGCTCTAAACCAGGACAAGGGGCAAACTTTGGAGCAAGTGACTTCATTACTTGAAGTTATAATTGGACAATTAAGCTCTGATATGCAAATAGACCAAACTTTCATCTGTCTGTAAAACTCGTCTGGGTGTGGCCTCAGCAAGACTCCTGCGTGCTCAAGGTGTGCCCTTTAAAGACTTTCCACTAAATAATCACCTTTATCCATTAACTCTATCTAGCCTGTGCTCTAGGCAGCCTTTCCAGGCATCAGAGGGGTGGGAAAAACGTCTGGGAAACATCTGAAAACACCTGGGAATGGCTTGGCTACAGAGCCCTCCTGTGGCAGGAACCACTTCCCGTTTAACTCAAATATCACAAGAGTGAAAATGTTGGTGCTCACCGAAGTAACACCTTCATTTTTATAATTGTAATTAAAATTGAGCCCAATTCTTAACATTAACACATTTTTTCCATATTGTTTGTTTAGCTCAAGGGAGCAGCTGCTTCAAATTCTAAGAGTTTTATAAAGAGACCTGGGATTATTCCTGCATCCATCTCTGCTGTGGAAAGCCACCCTGGAGAATCTCTGCTGAGCCACTTCTGGCTGCACCCAGAGGATAACCAGATCCATGGGAGTCATCCCAGGCTGTATCCCCATGGATGCACCTGCAGGAGCCCAGCCTAAGAGCCTGGAGCAAGGCCTGAACCCCTGAACTGAATTGCATCCAGCAACTGAAAATTCACACAATCCAACTGGAATGACAAGGACTTTGCTGGAGCAACGTTCCGGAAGGAATTTATAAATCAAGTTTATAAAAGGTTTGTATAAATTTGAATGTTCCCTGTTTTGGGCACTGAACATCGGCGACGTGACCCCAAGCCCACGTTTGCTCTTCCCTTGTCCTCAGCCACCTGCAGGACCAGGATTCACTGGGAAAACCCTTCCCTAATTTCCTGCCTCCAAGGCCAGAAGGTGACCACTCCTTCCTTTCTAAAACACCAGCCCTGCTGAGCTCACCTTCATGGCAAAGCTGGATGGCATCATGTTCTTTGGCCACTCAAACTCCGTCAGGTGGATGCGGATCCCGGATTCCAGCAGCAGCGTGGCCTTGCACTCTGGCCTGGGGGAAAACAGAGCAGCTGCACCCCAAAACGCCCAGCTGCACCCCAAAATGCCCAGCTGCACCCCAAAATGCCCTGCACTCCCTCCACACGAGGACTTTCTGGGATCCCAGGTGGCACAGGAGCAGCCACCCCACCACCAGCCCATCTGCGGAGGGTTTTCTGCGGCGTTTCCCGTTTCCTTAGAACTTTCTGGGTAAAAATTACTGCATTTCACCAAAAACCAGCAGAATTTCACACAAAACAAGTGAGAAATTACTGCAGGCAATTTAAAAAAATCTGGTTTTCACACAGCACTCCTAAAGAATCTGTAAATAAAGGCATTTAAAGCTCTTACTTTTGCAGGCGAATGAGATAGGTCTTGTTATCCACATCATAAACGTTGTTCACTCTCATTCCCAACAAGCTGCCAAAAGGAAAACAAGAAATGCTTTGGAGAATCCAAAGCACAACTGGCTGGAAAAAAATCCCAGTGGCAATTAGAGTAAGCAGAAGGGCAAGTTATGATAAATTACCAAGGAGTAACCAAAAGGGCAGCAAAGGAAGATTAATGGAATGAGCTGGAAGCAACAACCATGGAGAGATGGAGAAACTGCTCTTAAGAGACAACAATTAAGAGAGGGAGAAAATTAGATGGAGGAATTGATATTGATGAATGAAATGGAGAAAGCTGCCAGTTCCTGCCCGTGCTCCCCTTTGTGGCAGGGATGTAAAGTGAACTGGTGATACTGGAGCTCCTGGCCAGCACAGGGCACCAGTAATCCCAGTATGGGCACTGAACCGGCCTGGGGGCGTCAGTCACTCCCTTCAGAGCAGGGCTGGACACCAGGGATGTGTCAGAGCTCCACAGGGATGTGAGGGAAACTGGGAATGTTCCCTGGAGAGGAGAAGGCTCCAGGGAGAGCTCAGAGCCCCTGGCAGGGCCTGAAGGGGCTCCAGGAGAGCTGGAGAGGGACTGGGGACAAGGATGGAGGGACAGGACACAGGGAATGGCTCCCACGGCCAGAGGGCAGGGATGGATGGGAGATTGGGAACTGGGAATTGCTGGCTGGGCTGGAATTGCCAGAGCAGCTGTGGCTGCCCCTGGATCCCTGGCAGTGCCCAAGGCCAGGCTGGACTCTGGGGCTGGAGCAGCCTGGGACAGTGGCAGTGTCCCGGCCATGGCAGGGCTGGCAGCGGGTTCTGTGCTGAGGGGCAGAGCTGTCACACGGGACACGATGGAGCAGCAGAGCCCCCGCAGCCCTGAGACTACGGCGGGGCGGGAACACCGGGACCAGGACCACGGAGAAGAGGGAGGAGCGGGGACAGAACCAGAACCAAAACCAGGACCGGGACCCGGGGCAGGACCAGGTCCCACCGGGCCGGGCGCCGCTCCCCGGGGGCTGGAGGGTCAGGGAGTGCCGGTACCTCTGCCGCAGCTCGGCGAGCACCGCGCGGATGTCGACGGTGCTGAAGCGGGACTTCATGGCGCCGGCGCCGCCCGCCGAGACCCACAGGGATCCCGGCCCGCGGCCCCTCCGCGATCCCGGCTCCCGGCCCCTCACGGCTCCCGCTCCCTCACGGCCACCCCGCGCCTGCGCCCACGGGCGCTACGGGTCGCGCCCGGCGCCAATCCCCGGCGCTCCGCGGCCGCGCATGGGCTGAGCCGGGCGGATATCTTTGTGAACATGTGCAGTGTACAGAGAAGGAGAGACCAGGGTCTCATGGCTGGGACGGGCGGGGCGGCGCCGCGCGCGACCAGCAGGAGGCGCTGTGAGCGCGGGGGCGCTGAGGGGGCGCGCGGCGCGGGGGGCCCGGCGGTGACAAAAAACGGTCCAGGAATGATAAAAAAAGACTCCGGGAATGACAAAAGAGACTCCGGCGGTGACAAAAAAAGGGTGTGTGTGTGTGATCCCGGGAGAGGCGGCGAAAGGGGGAGCAAAAAGGGCGCGAGAGGGTCCCGTGTGTGGGGAAAGGGTCCCGCGTCTCTGCGCTGAGCGCGGCGAGGGAGCCCGGGCGTGTCCGTGTGGGGCAGCGGAGGGAGCCGCGGGACCCCTGCCGTGAGCGTTTGTCCACATTTATTCTTTCAGGGCTGATTTGTCTTCAGAGTCTGCTCGGAGCTGTGAACTTAGCGGTTGGGCGGTGCGGCGTTGTTGCGGTGTTCGGCCGGTAGGAGGCGGTGTTCGTGTGCGCGGTTTTGGGGCAAAAAAAGCGGTTTCTGCGGGGTTTTGGGGCGCGTTAGTTGCGCTGCGGGGCCAAAAGGGAGCCCGCGTGTCTCTGTATTGCCCAGGCTACGCTGGCGTGGCTATTCACAGGCGCGATCCCGCTACTGACCGCCACGGGAGCTTTGACCTGCTCCGTCTCCGACCTGGGCCGGTTCACCCCTCCTTAGTCAACCTGGTGTCCCGCAGCTCCCCGCGGGTCACCATATTGATGGCGGCCTTAGCTTGGACGCCCGCTCGGCACAGCGCACGGCAGCCCAGAACTCCTGGGCTCAAGCGATCCGTCGGGCTCAGCCTCCCCGGCAGCTGGGATTACAGGCGCGCGCCACCGCGCCCGGCGACGGCAGCGGGCTCCGCCGGCGATACGCTTTGTGTGGAGCCGCCCCGTCCCGCCTCCTGATCCTCCTCCTCCTCCTGCTGCTGTTCTCGCTCCTCCCTGCTGTTTGTACTGCTCCTCCTCCTTCTCGTTCGGTGATGGCAGCGGGCTCCGCCGGCGATACGCTTTGTGTGGAGCCGCCCCGTCCCGCCTCCTGATCCTCCTCCTCCTCCTGCTGCTGTTCTCGCTCCTCCCTGCTGTTTGTACTGCTCCTCCTCCTCCTCGTTCTCCTCTCCTTCTCCGCCTGTTCCATCTTCTTCTTCTCTCCTCTTTCTCCTTCTTATTCTCCTTCTCCATTTCCTTCTCCTCCTTCTTCTTCTCCTCCCTCCCCTTTATGCTTTTCCCCCTCCTCCTCCCTTCCCCTTTCCCCTTTTCTTTTCCCCTTCCCATTCCTCCTTCCTTTCCCCCCCTTTCTCCTTTTCCCTTCCCCTGTCTCTTCATCCTTTTCTTTCCCCATTTCCCTTCCCATTCCCTGTCTTCCCTCTTCTTCTTTTCCTTATCCCTTCCCATTCTCCTTTGTCGCTTTTGCTTCCCATTCCCTGTCTTCCCCCTTCTTCTTTTCCTTATCCCTTCCCATTCTCCTTCCTCTCCTTCCCCTTTCTCCTTTGTTGCTTTTACCTTCTTCCCATCCTTACCCCTTCTCCTTACCCATTCTCTTTCCTCTTTCCCCTTCTCATTTCCCTTCTCCCTCTCTTCCTATTTCCCCCTTCCCTCTATCCCAATCTCATCCCCAGCACACACTGTAGTTTCCCTGCTGAGGAAGCAGCCAGGTCAAGGACAAAACCCCCTCCCCATTCTCAGCACAAACCCGAATTCTTCACTTCTTACACAATTTGGGCGTTGTTATCAGGGATTCACAGTGGGATTCAGGATCAGGGCCTCTCTCAGGAGCACCATATCCCCACTGAACTTCCACCAGCACAACAACTGCAGCCCAAAATCCCAACCTCAGCCTCCCCAGGACTGGGATCCCACCAGATCCAGCTGTTCTGCAGATTCCTGCCACCCGTGCTGTGCGAGCTCTGCCTGGCCACACAGTGGCAGTGGGGAACCGAGGGAATGCCCTCGAGCTCGCTCTGGTTTATGTTCCAATCCGCTTGGCTAGACAGGAATGGTTTTTGAGGAGGTTTGGGCTGCTGAGGAAGCCCAAAGCCCCACTCGGAGCCAGAGCAGGCACACCCTGATGCTGTTCTCGTTCCGAGCCGAGCGAGGCACAGCCTGGAGCTCTGTCCCGGGACAGCTCCGGACAGAGCAGCCCGGGCATGTCCTGCTTTGAAAAAAAAACTCCTCGTGGAGCAAAGCTCCCCGATTTGCCAGCGCTCTCCTGAGAGTGTGGAGCTCAGAGCCGAGGACACCAACGGGCTGTGACAGTAAAAACCAGCAGAGTAACGAGATGCTCCTGGGAGCTTCCCCAGCGTTTGAGGCACGGCTGGGACTGCCTCGCAGCCAGAAACACGTCGGGAATTCCTGCTGGCCGGCACAGGAACCCGGCATTTCCCAGTTTTACATTCACATCTGCTGCGATCCCAACACATCCCACCAAAACCCGAGCACGTCTGGGTGGGCGAGGCTGGCGCTCCATCCTCAGGAGGAGCATCCTTGGGAGTGCTTTTGCCTTTCCCTGCTGTGTGGCTGCTCCGCGGCACGGAGAGCTGACAAAGGGGGCTGGGTCCGAGGGGATAAGGTGCCAAAGGGGCTGGGTCCGAGGGGATAAGGTGCCAAAGGGGCTGGGTCCGGGGGGATAAGGTGCCAAAAGAGGCTGGGTCCGAGGGGATAAGGTGCCAAAAGAGGCTGGGTCCCGTCCTGTCACCCGGGCTGCGCTGCAGGGTCTGTTCACAGGCGCGATCCCGCTACTGACCGCCACGGGAGCTTTGACCTGCTCCGTCTCCGACCTGGGCCGGTTCACCCCTCCTTAGGCGACCTGGTGGCCCCCGGCTCCCCCGGGGCCACCATATCGATGCCGGCCTTAGCTTGGACGCCCGCTCGGCACAGCGCACGGCAGCCCAGAACCCCCGGGCTCAGCGGTCCGCCAGCCTCAGCCTCCCCGGAGCTTGGATTACAGGCACAAGCCACCGTGCCCGGCTGCTCCCTCCGCTGCCTCGGCTCCCCGTCAGCCCGGGAGCGGCTCCTCGGCAGCGGCAGCAGCGCGGTGGGAGGAGCAGCAGGCACACGGAGCAGAATTTAGCTTTTCAAGTGAGCATCCAGCACAGTGCTTTGGTTTAGACAGGTCAGGGTGTGCTGGTGTAAGTTTTAAGTTCGTGGCTCTGCTCTGGGATGTTGCCCAGAGAGAGATCAGAGGGATTTGCAGAATGTCTGAGGCGCAGCATGCTCCTTGCAGATGGAATGAGGTGAATGATTCTCAGCAAAGGATAGAAAAATAACAAAAACCTAAGGCAAGGAATAAAATTCAGGAGCTCCCTGTTTTTATTCATTCCCTGCCACAACAGGCTGCTGCCTAGGAAATCATTCACTGAGGATTTTTCATCTGAACTCTGTGTTTTGCCTCTGTCAAAGTGTCCTGCCCCAGGTATCCCATGGGAATAACTGGCTGCTCCCTCTCCTCCATGGATAGCTCATGGAATTGTGTTTCTCCAGCGCAGAGGTCGAGGCGAGGCCGTCCTGCCCAGGCAGGGCCACACCTCCTGCCCTGCCAGAGCCACTCTGAGGTGTGTGAGCACTTCCTCCAGCCCGAGCTGGCCTCTGGGCTGCTGGAGCAAAGTCCAGGGCTAAAGTCCACAGGGCAATCCCATCTTCGAGAAGAAAATAAGATTTTCCCCAGTGCTGCACAAGCCTGAAGCATTAAGGGTGTCAGGGCTGCATGGGAGAGATCCCAGACCTTGTTCTGGGCTTTTATCTCCTTAAGGAAGAGCTGCTGGTGACAGCTGGAGTTTTGGCTAAAGGCATTAGGATAATGGTTTAGGGGTCAAGGCATGAGGAGAGGGGGGCCTGGCATCCACAAACAGGGGAGAAAGGCAAACAATCCCCACGGAAATAACACTGCACACATCCAGGCACCCCCTCCTGCCACGGACACGGGGATTCTTCCTGCCACAAACACAGACATTTTTCCTTGCATGAAGAAACCATAACAGGAGGGATTTGGGAGAGCAGGGGCATGAAACTGCGTGATTTCCTGGAAAAAAAAAAATGTGATGGGAACGGGCTTGGCAGCCTGAGGAGGGCCCAGAGAGCAGGGCAGCACCAAAGCGACAGCCGAGATGCGAAATGAGCCCCTCGGGGCTGGGCACAGCTCGGGAGCTCATCCCGGAGCCCCGGGGTGCCCTGCCCTCCGGAGCCCATCCCGGAGCCCCGGGGCTGCCCTGCCCTCCGGAGCCCCGGGCTGCCCTGTCCTCCCGAGCCCCGGGGCTGCCCTGCCCTCCGGAGCCCATCCCGGTGCCCTCCCCTCCGGAGCCCCGGGGTGCCCTGCCCTCCGGAGCTCATCCCGGAGCTCCGGTGTGCCCTCCCCTCCGGAGCCCCGGGGTGCCCTGCCCTCCGGAGCCCATCCCGGAGCCCCGGGGTGCCCTGCCCTCCGGAGCCCCGGGGTGCCCTGCCCTCCGGAGCCCATCCCGGAGCCCCGGGGTGCCCTGCCCTCCGGAGCCCCGGGGTGCCCTGCCCTCCGGAGCCCATCCCGAAGCCCCGGGGTGCCCTGCCCTCCGGAGCCCATCCCGGAGCCCCGGGGTGCCCTGCCCTCCGGAGCTCAGCCCGGAGCCCCGGGGTGCCCTGCCCTCCGGAGCCCCGGGGTGCCCTCCGGAGCCCATCCCGGAGCCCCGGGGTGCCCTCCCCTCCGGAGCTCAGCCGCAGCCGCCGGACCCGCCCAGCCCAGCGGGAGCAGCTGCTCCAGGATCCCGCTGAGCTCCCCGCCGGAGCTTTGTGCACAGAGTTAGGGCTAAGCCAGGCTCCGGCCCCACAAATCATCAGCCTGGGGATCCCACTGAGCTCCAAAACTCCTCCTTCCAAGGGCCAGGCAACCACAGAGTCACGGAATAGAGCCAGCCACACAATACCATGGAGTCCAGCTCCTGGCTCTGCACAGGACCCCCCAAAATCCCACCATGGGATTATTTCTGCCACCATGGGGGTTGTTCCCACCATGGAAATAATTCATTATTCCCACCATGGGAATTATTCTTCTTGTTAAGGCTTTAGGATTTTTCAGGCTGATGTTGCCATGGTGGTGATCCAGGATTTTGGCATGTGAAGGTTTGGTCAGGCAGTATCCACCTCCCTCTTCATTTCCTCTCTCTGCTCCTGGGAGCACCCTGGGAAAGGAGGAGCCAGCTTTGCCAATAATACCTGCAGAGACATTTTGATGTACTTAGGATATATTACAAAACCCTAAATATTCTGGAATCATAGAATCCCTGAATGGTTTGAGTGGGAAGGGAGCTTAAATCCCATCCCATTCCACCCCCTTTCCATGGGAGGGACACCTGCCACTGTCCCAGGCTGCTCCAAGCCCTCTCCAGCCTGGCCTGGGGCGCTGCCAGGGATCCAGGAGCATCCAATGTGCTTTTTCTGAGTGCTTTTTTTGAGGTATTTTACCCTGAAAATCAGTCAGCAGTGTAAGGCTGAGCTATATGGAGTATAGCCAGTGCCCAGAGGTGCATTTCTTTCACTGGGGGTGGTTACAGGGAGTAGATTTATATACTGAAAACCTGTTTGCAATACCTCAGCACCCTCTGAATAAAGAATTCCCAATCTCCCATCCATCCCTGCCCTCTGGCAGTGGGAGCCATTCCCTGTGTCCTGTCCCTCCATGCCTTGTCCCCAGTCCCTCTCCAGCTCTCCTGGAGCCCCTCCAGGCCCTGCCAGGGGCTCTGAGGATCTCTTCCTCACTTCCACAGGGGGCTGGAGACCAGGACAGGGCTTTTTCCTGGTGATACCTGTGGGGTTTTATTGGTTCTTCAGGATCCTCAAGGCATTGTTCCAGCACACTCGGGTTCACAGAGACCTGCTGCAGCCAGGATATTTTTTGCTCAAATTTCATCTGTGATGACAAATTTCCACCTCACAGTGGCTTAAGTTGCTCTCTTAAAAATAATGGTCTTTCCAAACAAATTCCCATATTGTCCAACACCCTTCCCACCTCCACTCCTTAACGGGATGGGAAGATCCAGGGATGTCTCTGATGCCACTGTGCCTGTAGCACAAACACCTTTGGAGGTTTCAGGTTCAGCTTCCTGCCAATCCCAGCTGCTGCCGCATCCAAAATCACAGGAAACAGGGCTGAGCCATCCATGGGAGCCATCCCCACCCCTCCCTGCCCACAGGGAGGCAGGACCAGGGCCAAGTGCTCTGGGAAAGGCTTCTCTCCCTGACTCACCCCTGCACAGGACACTTGGCCCATTGTGTCAGATATCTCCATGACAAATCTGCCCCTGGAATGCCATTGTTGTATCGAGGATGTAATTTGTTTTCACAACGGGAGAATTTATCTAACACAGATACTAAAGCCAGAGCTGTTATTATATTCCCTTTTCCTTCCTTGGAAATCCACAAAGGTCTTTGAAGGATCAGTGAACAAAGGCTTTTCCCATCTCTGTCAAGAGGGAAGCAGGGAAAAGATGGGCTGCACCCCATCAAAACAGGTTTGGCCTGATGGTCCACAGTGATTGGAACTTGATTCACATTCAAAGAGATAAAAATTCTCTGACTGATGAGCATCAGTTTTCTCAAGGCTTGGTTAATTTGGTGTTTCAGTTGCTGTGACAGCACCTGGACCTCTGGTGGAGGGCAGAACATGGAACCACAGCCCTGCAAACCCATGGAAAACAATAAATGCAAACCTTGGTACCTGCACTGCCCAGGGGTTCCTCCTGGATAAGGGAAGATAAGGAAAGATAAGGGAAGATAAGGAGCAGCCAGGCCCAGCTGAGCCACCACAAGGTCCCACAGGTATTTGCTGCCCTTCTCCCCAGGCTGTAAGCCCTAATCACTTTATAACCATGATTGCTTTTTTCCCTCTGGGCTGTAAATCCCCAGCAGGTACACGGGCCACCCCATCCACTGACACAGCATCACACAGAGCTCGCTTCTAAAACACTCACCTCACTTTTAAAACATTCATCTGACTTTTGAAATATTTAATTCACTTCTAAAACACTCACCTCACTTTTGAAACATTCATCTGACTTTTGAAATATTTAATTCACTTTTAAAACACTCACCTCACTTTTAAAACATTCATCTGACTTTTGAAATATTTAATTCACTTTTAAAACACTCACCTCACTTTTAAAATTTCACCTCACTTTTAAAAACGTTCAGCTTACTTTTAAAACATTTAACTCATTTTTTAAACATTCAACTTACTTTTAAAACATTTAACTCACTTTTAAAATATTTAACTCACTTTTGAAATATTTAACTCCTGCAGGCTACCCAGTAACTCACTAGGGGTTGCCAAGGACCTGGGAAGGGTTTTAATTCTCAAGCAGGTGTGTGAAACTGAACCCCTTCTAAGAGCTCACGTTTTTCATGTATTTTAGGGCATATTTGGCTATTTTGAGTGCTTTACTGGGATATTTTACCTTGAAAATCAGTCAGCAGTGTGAGGCTGAGCTATATGGAGTAGCCAGTGCCCAGAGGTGCATTTCCTTCCCTGAGGGTTTACAGGCAGCACATTTATATCCATCCTGAGGTGAAGAACCTGCTTTGCTCAGACCATCACGCTTCACCTGTGGTGACAAATTTCCACCCCACAGCACCTTAAGTCTCTCTCTTAAAAATAAGGGCTTGTCTTTCCAAACCAATTCCCATTTTAGAGGCTGTGCTCTCCCAGAGGCTCTGCAGGGACTGGGATCCCTCAGACAGCAAAGCCTTTTTTTGCTTTATAGCTGAAGTTATTTCCATTTGCTTCCTGTTTACCCTCCTTCCTGTGCACTCACGGAAACCAACAGGACTCCACTGAAATGTTCCAAAAGTAGGTGGAGGAAACCAACAGGACTCCACTGAAAGGTTCCAAAAGTAGGTGGTGCTCTCTCTCCAGCTTCTCCCCATCCCCGCGGGACTGGGAAATGTGAGCTGCCAGGACTGACTGCACTGAGTTCATTAGTGACTAATTTGAGATCTTAACTACCCAAAGTGCTGAGTGCTCAAATGTCTCCTTGCTATCTATCCTCCTCAAGAGCAGGAATACTTCCTCTAAAAGCACAGCCAGGCCGTGGCAAATCTTCCCCTGGTGAGGCTGGGAAGCTTTCCTGAAGAGCAGGGAGGATCCTTGGGAATAAATCCCAGCACAGGTGGAAAAGCATTTGAGTGAATCCCATTTCTCTTCTGAGGAAGAACTTGTTACTGTGCAGTGAGCAGGCACTGGAACAGATTGCCCAGAGAGGAGTCTCCAGTCCTGGAGGCATTCCAGAACCAGCTGGACACGATCCTGTGCCCCGTGCTGGCCCTGCCCAGCAGGGAGCTGGCACCAGGTGACCCCACTGTGCTCCCTTCCAACCCGAGCTGCCCAGGGCACGTAACCACATCCCCCCATCAGTTTGGGGTTTCTGTGGGAAGAAGTGCAGCT